GACTCGGTGTAAATTTAGGATTAGGAAAGTAATTAAATAAATCCAATTGAATTTGAAATTCAAAAGAATTGATTTAAGAACTTTCCAAAAATGTAACGACAAATTAGGAAAGATTTCAAATTCAAATTCGTTGGATTTGAATTTCGAAAATCTGTCCAAAGATTAAATTACCCAAATTAGACAAGGATTTCAATGGGGAGAAGGTGGTGGATGGTGGCCGGCGGCTAAAGATTGGACGGGCGGTATGAGGGCTCGGTATGGAGGTTTGGCCGAGGGGTTGAGAGGGAGGAGGAAGAAAGACGATGGCTAGGAACAAAAGAGGGAACAAAAACAAAAACAAAGAAAGACAGAGATAACTAACGAACTCACAAAGAGATCGTAAGAACCGCGAACCTCGGACTCTTCCAAAGATTGACGGGTATTGCTTTTGCCCTCACTTTGGGCTTTCCATAGAACTCACACAGAGATCTAGGAGAGTTGAACTCACCAAGAGATCAAGAAAATATGAACTCACAAAGAGATCAAAAGTAGAAATTTTCATTCATCATAATCATCATCCTAATACAAGAGAATGAGCCTCTATATATAGGCCTCAAGAGAAATTAAAAGACACATTTGCCCCTTGGGCTTACATAAGACAAGAGGGTAAAAAGGGAAATTGAGAAACTAAATTAAAATACACTTAATAAATGAAAATAACACAAAGTGATCTCGGTCGTCGATCTTCAGCTCCTCCTCGGATTGGCATGGACGGTTGGATGTCCGCATCACAGAGTCTTTAACAAAGTAAAATTAGATTATTAATGCTATTAACAAAAAAATTTATGAGATGAATGTAATATGTAGATAATTAAAATTCCACTCATACTCATTTCAAAACAGCTATTTCAGCTTTGAAATATGTCATGAATATTTTATAATCAAAATATTTTGATTATGGAGATCATGAGAATCTAAGCCTAGTATTGAATGTCTCTAATTCTAAAAGATAACACTAACAATGCTAGTAATTAGCCTAAGCTTCGTTTGAGACGGTTTTTTTGTTGCTTCTTAAAGCAAGTTTTTAGTACAAAAATTTTAATTTTTATAAAAAAAAAAAACTACTTTAAGAAGCAACCAGAAAACCGTATCAACGAAACCTAATTGCGCCCCCTCCCCCAATTGCTTAGATCCTCCTAACTGCTATCTCATATTATCCGTCTAATAACTACTTAAAACACTCACTCGTGAACTTGCATATTAGCTAAATGGAACTGTAGTAGATTGATGCATGGACATGACCAAGATCAAACATGTTGATTCATTAATTTGGAATATTTACTAAGACACTGTAGCTTTTTCTACGCTCTCTAAACTCACTAATTTCTCACTCAGTTTTCTAGCTCTAACCCACAAATAACCTGCTAATAAAGGGGTGTTATCTGTGAATGAATTTGAATCTAACAATATAGAGAGTTGGGTTTTCTAAGCTTGCTTACATGATTAGCTTCTTCAAGTAGTGGTGTCAAAATCTGATTTTTAATAGGATTTGACCCGGGTTCAAATAGGTTGACCGGAACCCGACCCGGTTTTGCAAATAGGTCCAAAATATGAACCTCGACCTGACCTGGCAAGTTATCGGGTTGACCTGATCCGACATGGTTTTGTAAACCCTGGCTTGCAACGACAGTAGGAGGTGAGACGGCGGGGCTCGCATCGACGGCAGCAGGCGGGACGGTGGGGCTTGTGTTAGAGGACTTGTGTCGACGGCAACAAGCAGGATAGTAAGCTCGCATCGACACAACAGGCAGGCTCTCGGATGGCGGATCTCGCGGACAGACGTCAAAAGGTGGGTTTAAGGATGGCGTATCTCGCGAATGGATGGCAGATCTCGCAGACGACGAATCATGGATGTGACAGCGTCACAGTAGCACGACACTCGAGTTCTTGATAGGACGAATCACGGACAGGACGGACACATATTTTCCAAATGGGTCAAAAGCTGGTTGATTTCAGGTTTGGGTCAACTTGAATCCTACCAATTTTTTCAAACGGGTTGAATCTGAGAACCCGAACCTAACTTCTTTTAAAATCGAGTCGGGTCTAATCCAAAATTTTCAGGTTGGGTCCGAGTTAGATTTTCGTGTTGTGTTAAATATTGAGACCCCTATCTTCAAGTTCAAGAAGATAAGGATTAATTAAAGCAAGGTTCAATCATATTCCATATGCGTAGCTGACCAACCAAGAGGAAAAATTAGGAATCAACTTAAACCGCAACGTTAGAATCTGCTGCTAAAGATTAATTGAAATGATCAAATTATATGTATTCAAACTTCGAATTTTTGGCTTAAATTACTTGCTCGGTCTGCAGGCGGATCATTAAACAATAAACAACAACCAGAGTACTGAGGACAGAAGAACTATTTGTGTTATTTAGTAACTACTGCAGTTCAAAGTAGGAATTTGCAACAAATCAAAACAATGTCCTCAACGAATATGGCCTATAGTCGGCTTTATTTTTTTAAAATTATTATAACCACCAACCAAAATAATACAAGGTAGTTTTGGTATTTATTTCATACTTTATTGGTGGCTAGTATTAAAAAATAATACAAGGTAGTTTTGGTATTTATTTCATACTTTATTGGTGGCTAGTATTTAAGTTCTTAGGGCATCTCCAACCAAAAAACCCATTTTCCACTCTAAAAAATGCAATTATTCTTCTCAAATTGAACGTCAGTCCTTCTTTTGCGTGTTTCCCGCGAAGGTAACCATATTTTGCGCGCTTTTCTCCTCTTTCGTGTGCTTCTTCGGCAAATCCTGTAGAAAAATTTTTTGGCGTAGATGAAAAATTCGAAATCAATATTGACATCGCACTATTCACCTACCGAAATTTGATGTGCGATTTGAAGTTCAAATGGAGCAAATGGCGAATATCATACAGTGATATGGAGTTCGGTTCAAGATGATCTTAGTAAATGATGACAATGACTTGAGTTCTCTGAGTCATGAATATTGGTCTAAAACAAGAAGGCTGTGACCGTTGAGCATGAAGAGCTGATTCACAAACAGATAAAAGAAGCTGAAGGAAGACAAGAAAATTGCAGCTTAAAGGAACATCAGTGGACAAATTTATATCAGACTGATGCTTATATGTTTGGTATTGATCCATAATATTGTAAAGATATCTAATTATTTAGTTCCATTATTTTGATCCAAATGGAAATCAAGAAAACATCTTTTAAAAGAAAAGAATGTGATGATTTTTGTATGATGACGATATGCCAAAACAAAACCATAACCATCTCATCGATATCTAAGTTAGCAACCCAAAAGGAAAAAGCCAATAATAGGAGAGAAGTTGAAGATTACCTCTTAAAGCCCAAGCCCCTTTTCACAACCTTCAAGACAACTCCAAATAAAATGATAATCATACCTAAAGAATAACCCACCAGAGAACAGAATCCAAAGGATAGAATAGCCAATAGAAGTCATCAAAGCCAAAGACGGGAGAGGAAAGAGGGGCTAAATGAAGAAGATCATGATGATGAAGATAGTCGTAAGCAACAACATGAGTTGTATTAAGATGAGTGAGATTTCATTGACAGAAGCTTAAGGATAGGAGAATTTTTGCCTTAAGAGGGTACCATGCCTAAAGCCTTCACTAGGAGAAATTATAATATACGGATGCAAAACAACAAATGCTGCGCAAAAATTAGTCAGAATGCACAACGAACATCACCCCGTGTTCATACCCAGCTCGATATTGAGCAAAACCACATACCGCTTCGACTCATTAATGCTGACGTGATGCATTCTACTTGTACTCCAACCACACAGAATCAATGAGGCCCAAAATAAAAATGCACATAATACAGTACGAGCATACAAAACCCATATTAAAAGCAAACATTTGACAACAACTAACCAATTTTGATCAATTAAAATTTATTGAGTTACCTAGATTGCTTTGATATGAACCAAACTTGCACTTTTGCTCTTTAACATAAACTAACAATAGCAAACAAAATAAAAAAAAAAATAACACAAAATTCCATAAAAAAACCAAGCTTAGAACGAGGTAAAAAAAGAGAATAACTCATGGCGGGCAAACATGAAAGATAAAATGCGAGAGAACCTTCAGCCATACAGAAGGCGCAGAAAAACTGTAATAGTTACAAAACCATAGTAGAAATGAAGAGCCCTTTGACATAAACCGGGCTCATTAACTCAAAATAAACGTTTGACAAAACTTCATAACCAGCAAATAAAACATCCGTAGAACTCCAACTGCTCATAAGAAGACCCCTTTAATCAACCTCCTCAATCTTGGGACCAGCGCCACCACCACCTGGAGCAGGACCATCTTCGTCCATACCAGCCGGCATACCCTCACCTCCCTGATACATCTTGGCAATTATAGGATTGCAGATCCCCTCCAATTCCCTCATCTTGTCATCGAACTCATCAGCCTCAGCAAGCTGGTTATTATCCAGCCATTGGATGGCCTGATCAATAGCATCCTCAATCTTCTTCTTCTCAGCAGCACCCAATTTGGAGGAAATCTTATCATCCCTTATGGTGTTCCTCATGTTGTAGGCGTAGTTCTCCAATGTGTTCTTGGACTCGACCTTCTTCTTATGTTCCTCATCTTCAGACTTGTATTTTTCAGCTTCATGGACCATCTTCTCTATTTCCTCCTTGCTCAGCCTTCCCTTGTCGTTCGTAATGGTAATTTTGTTCTTCTGCCCGGTTGTTTTATCCTCAGCAGAGACATTCAGGATGCCATTGGCATCAATATCAAAGCAAACGGTAATCTGAGGGACGCCTCTTGGAGCTGGAGGAATGCCAGAGAGCTCAAATTTGCCTAGCAAGTTGTTATCTTTTGTTCGTGTTCTCTCTCCTTCATAAACCTGGATCAACACACCTGGCTGATTGTCAGAGTAGGTGGAGAAGACTTGCTCCTTCTTTGTAGGAATAGTTGTGTTCCTAGGAATCAGAACAGTCATGACGCCGCCGGCTGTCTCCAAGCCTAGAGATAGCGGGGTGACGTCGAGCAGCAAAAGATCCTGCACCTTCTCATTGCCCTCCCCACTCAAAATAGCTGCTTGGACCGCGGCACCATAAGCGACAGCCTCATCTGGATTTATGCTCTTGCAAAGCTCCTTTCCATTGAAGAAATCTTGCAGCAATTGTTGAACTCTAGGTATACGAGTAGATCCACCAACAAGAACTACATCATGTATAGTGCTCTTGTCCATCTTAGCATCTCGGAGGCACTTCTCGACAGGTTCCATGCATTTTCTGAATAGATCCATGTTAAGCTCCTCAAACCTAGCACGAGTAATTGTTGAATAGAAATCAATGCCCTCAAAGAGAGAATCGATTTCGATGGTGGTCTGTGCAGTAGACGATAAAGTTCTCTTCGCTCTCTCACAGGCAGTTCTCAACCGCCTAAGAGCCCTGGGATTTCCACTAATATCCTTTTTGTTCTTCCTCTTGAACTCTTGAACAAAGTGGTTGACCAACCTGTTATCAAAATCTTCACCTCCAAGATGAGTATCACCAGCTGTAGCCTTGACCTCAAAGATGCCCTCTTCAATGGTCAGCAGAGATACGTCGAAGGTTCCACCACCAAGGTCAAAAATTAGAACATTCTTCTCACCTACACTAGAAGACTTCTTATCAAGACCATAGGCTATGGCTGCAGCAGTAGGCTCATTGATAATGCGCATGACATTAAGGCCAGCAATAACACCAGCATCCTTGGTAGCTTGGCGCTGTGAATCATTGAAGTAGGCAGGAACAGTAACAACTGCATTCTTGATTGTCGCTCCAAGGTAGGCTTCAGCAATCTCCTTCATCTTAATTAAAACCATTGAGGAAATCTCCTCAGCAGCAAACTGCTTCTCCTCACCCTTGTACTGAACAACAATCATAGGCTTATCTCCAGGTCCAGCAACAACCTTGAATGGCCACATCTTCATATCACTTTGAACAGGAGAATCACTGAATCTCCTTCCAATCAAGCGTTTAGCATCTACCAAAATATCATGGCAAACCAAAAAGATTCAGTAATATTGATAAAAATGAAAATTTGAAACAAAAGTTACAAAAACCACTGATGGATCACAAGCCACAAATGCATACAACGCTAACAACTTGATATCAAAAACTAAACATTGCACAGTAGTAATCAGAAAATATTAGCATAAAATGGTGTTCAGAGACGTGAATAAGGATTTTGGGGAAGACTTACGTATGTGTGGGTGATACAAATAAAGGAAAATTAAGTAGAGTTTCTGAAGGAAAATAGGAACACGTCAATAATGATTAAGCCATATTAGAAGCTCTTTCGCATATATATGAGAAAGAAAACAGAGCTCGCGTACATGATGCGTGTTTGAGTTTGCCTTATTTGGCTCAAAAGCCCAAATAAGAAAGACAACAGTATCAGTCAATAAGAATTTCAATTGTGAAAATAAAAAAAAGTAAAAAAAAAAAACGCAAATCGTAGAGGCAAAGATCCATGGCATATAATCTAATCAAATTATAAACATCCAACATTAAAAATGCCGACATAGCAAAATTAGATCTAATTATCAAATTCATGACCACCGCAGTGGCGCTCAATTACAAAACATAACGCACAAGAAGAGAGATTAGTAGATCCAGCTAAAAAAGTGCGTATAGGTGCAGAAAGCCTGCGTACAGGCCGCCTCCTTGTCAGCTATCCGCACCAGCGAAATCCATCCATCCGTTATATCATAGAGATACCCTAAAAAGATAAATTTTGCATGCTAACCTAATAATCATAAGAAGTTTTATCCAATAGAGAAGACGACTCACCGAATACAGTGTTGATAGGATTCATGGCGACTTGATTCTTTGCGGCGTCGCCGATGAGACGCTCCGTATCTGTGAAGGCTACGTAGGATGGCGTTGTGCGGTTCCCCTGATCGTTTGCGATGATCTCGACGCGATCGTGCTGCCATACACCCACGCAAGAGTACGTCGTCCCAAGATCGATCCCGATCGCCGGACCCTCGCCCTTTCCTGCCATCTGGAACACGGAGTATGGATTGCGGAAAGACTAGAACTAAAAAGTTTCAAAGATCGTGTCTGAACTAAAAAGAATAGACGGCAACGAGTAAAACCCTAATTTTCAAAGATAGATTGGGTGGTGGTGGGATCTTATAGCTCTGAGATCGCCGTTTCTCGAAGCTTCTGGCTGATGACAGCTGTTTGATAAAAAACGGACGGTCAAATTTCTTCCGAAGATTCCAGATGCAGGAAGGAAGCGTGGTTTGTTGATAAGGCTATTAGCCAAGGAATTAATTAGGTAGAATTTAGGGTTACTTTAATTAAATTGAATGTATATTAATATTATGAATATATAATTATTTTTTAAGGTTGTAAAATTTTAAATTTCATGACATGTTTGATTAAAATTTATTATAATATGATTTTAGATTGATTATTAATTAAATATATTTTAATGACTTAGATTAATGTATCATTTTCACATGTTTATTGAACTGACATTAGTGAATAATAATAAACAATCAAATGATAAAATTCTCAATATTAATTTCTTCCAAAAATAAACATGTAAAAAAGTAGTTATTTTGCTATTTTTATAAATGGTTGGTAGTGATATAAACGAGTCTGGGTATCTACCTAATCAAGTTAAACTTATTTAACTCTTGCTGAGTTTGATTTTAGCTGTTTGAAATTTATTAGGCTCAAGTTTGGCTCAATTACTCGAGCTAGGCTAGTTTACTCAATCTCATTAAGAAAGCTCGAGCTTGACTTGTAATTAAAATTATTTAATATATATTATATTATATTATTTTAAAATTAGATATTAAATTTATTTTAATTTGATCTAGTGGCTCGACAAACTTACTAGTCGGGTCTAACTGGGCATGAGCTCGAGTTCTTATAATATATGAGCTCGATTGTATGCTTAAGTTCAAATTTGTGGTTTCATAAGCTCGACTCGTGAACTTGTTAATGAGTTGAATTTGAGCTGGCTCACGAGCCGACTCAGTTCACTTAAACCCCTAGTACTTGGCGTATTATTTACCCATCTAATTCTCTAGCATCAATGATTTAACTCATTTATAATATAACATGGTGCTTGTCATAGTGTGTGGCTTGGTGACTAACATAGTGCTAAGTGAGTACAATATAAATGACTTGAATTAAACATTTGAATGCTACATATATTTGCATTTTTTTTATTCTACTATTATAAATGATATATTTTTGTATATTTGTAATTCATGATAATAATGACTGATATATCGGTTGTCTCCCTATTTTCTGACGCCGAGCTCCAAAAGTCTGAAAATATATGTCACAATATTTCAAATTGATTGAATCGTAAAAGTGTCAGTAAATTATGTTCCAAAAATATAAATATGCTCAAATTTGATTATAGAAGCTCTGTTGAGTTCCGAAAGTGTCCAAATTGAATGCTGAACATTTAAAAACGGTTCCAAGGACCCAAAAAATGTCTGATTTAGACTGCCCTAGCCAAAAATTTGGGCCCATATACGTCTTGGCGGCCGAACCAGACAACTGCAGCCGGAGCCGCTAGCGAAAAAACATCGTGCCCCTTGGGGCGTGCAGTACAGCGCAGCCTGTTAAGAAGCTGATATTAAACTTTTTTATGGGCCCCACAACCTTTTTTTCTTAACTGCGGGCAGCAGTACTATAACCGCCGTCAATAAATTTTTTTAATTCCGAAAATTGTCATAATTGGGCCCAAAAAATTTCAAAATCTTCTAGAAACATCTTTCCCTCTTATTTTTAAATCCCCCTCCATTTCAAATAAATTCTCCCCGTTTTCATCATATAAATACCCCCTTGAGGTTGGAGGAAAAATGCACATCTTCTCTTTCTTCCTTCTCTTCTAACTTTTTTAAATTTCAGGCATTCCATCATTTTTGACAGGTGACTTTCCCTACTCAAATTTTGTGTCCCTCTCTTGTATAGAAGTTAAAACTTTTCACTCTCTCCCATTTTTCTTCTTACTCTAGAGGCATTTCACTATTTTTGATAGGTGGCATCCCCTACTCAAATTCAATGCTCCTCTTTAGTATAAAAGTTCAAATGGGTGACTATACCTCCACCAAAGTCCCCCCAGCCAAAGGATATCACCCAATTGTCCATTTAGACGGTATGAAGAAGACTCAGAAAGTGGCCAACGCTGATGATGTCATGTCTTCCATAACAAGAGATTCCTTGATCGTTTTTAGGAAAAAAGTTCTACTTCCCCTACAATATTGTGATGAAAGTGCCTGAAAATTTGCTCGTGCTTGTTCCTCTCCTCCATGATTTTTTATAGTGTATGAGTTCAATTTGAGAGCAGTGCTATGATTTCTATCACCTCCAAAGTTCATTGATAGTTTGCCCCAACTTTCTTATAGAGCTGTGTCAATCATAAATGGATTGATCGTATTTTTCAAATATCGTATAGCTGTGTTGTCTCCAGAGTGTCTTTCTTGAATGGGTAGACTTATTTGTGATACGTAGTGTCATATCTCTTTCAAATCCATGTGGATGGAGATCCACACTCGAGACACATCAAAGAGCTAAATTTGTTTTTTTTTTTTTTGCAGAATGATTGAAATCTCCTGAAAATTTGAGAAAAACTAAAAGATTTATCCATTCCCCTACCTGTTGGAGCAAATGATTTATTGAAGATATTCAATCTTCCTGATGTTGACACCCTCCACTTTGATGTATGATAATTGAGTAGATATGTTTATGAAGAATATTTGTTCAAGATTGGACTATCTACTCAGGCAGGAATATCACATGCTCATATGTTAAAGAAGTCGGCTAAAGTCCCAGAAGCAAATTTTCAACATTCAAAAGCTCCTCCTAAACGATCAGAGAATGAGAGTGATCTACATGCATTCAAGAAGAAAAGAGTGGAGGAGATTTTGACAGACACTGACAAAGGTCACCATGTCTCTCCATCCAAGTCACACATTTCAAAACATGTTTTGAAATATTAATGTGTTGGTCATCAATGGGGTGAGGAGTTTGTGAGTTCTCATTCTCATAAGGATATGTCCATTACAAATAGGGCTGCAAGCAAACCAAACGTTCGATGAGCTACTCGTTGTTCGGTTCAATTAAAGCTCGTTTGTGTCTTTTAATTAACTAAACAAATAAACTTGAATAATATTTTAGATACTCGATTCTTAAATAAATAAACTTGAACACTAATGTGTTCAACTCATTTATGTTCACGAACAACATCATTTGAAGTTCGTGAACAAGCTCGAAATTAAGCTCGATTCGTGTTTGATTTTGAACTCGTGAATAAGCTCGATAAAAATAATTAATATTTGATTATAGAATTATTAAATATAAATAATATAATTATTTTATATTTATTATAATATAATGATATAATTATTATTAAATAATAAAATTTAAAGTAAATAATATTATATTTTATGTTAATTAAGTATTTTTATTAGATTTATGTGAATCATAGCAATGTAAAAAAAGAGGCGGGATGAGCGGCAAACTCATAATTTATTTCTTTGTTATTGGCTCGTTATCACTTATTTTATCTTCCCGAGCCGGCGAGCCCTAATTTTTCTTCCCAAACGCGCGGGCTAACGAAGGCGGAAGGTCAAACTCGGAACGTCTTCGCCTCTCTTGCTCCCCGCAAACCCCGACTCCTGCTTCACCGAACTAGGTTTTCTTTCTTTTCTATTTTCTTGTTGAGGCACTCTAACGAATCTTCTCATTTCTCTGCTCATCCTTCTCCCCGACAACTCCCCCAACAACACTGAAGCTCGTATTGACGGTAAGTTTTGGCTTTAAATATTACTTCCATTAGTTATTTTGGCTTCTTTCTCGTAATGTTGCATAATAACCTTTAGGGGAGGGATTTTATCAAAGGAAGGTTGGGTCTCCACTGAGCAAAGATCCTCAAATTTACTATTTGGGATAATAACTTTAGAAGAGATGGGAGAAAGTTACATTGGGGAAAAATGAGAAAGAGCAAGAGCATCCACCAGAGACAATTGCTTTTATCATAAATGTATTTTTTCATAGATATGTTCATGAACGTGTTTGTTTGATAGTTTAAAAAAATTCGTTAGATATGTCCATGAACATGCTCGATGTAATCGTTTGTTAGAAAGCTCGATAAAGTTCATTTGTTAAGTTCATGAACATCTAAAAGTAGAGCTCATATTTGTTTGTTTAAAGCTCGATAAGCATTAAACAAACGAATGTGAACTGAACACGAACCGAACATGAACACCCATTAATTTAAATGAATCAAACATGAACACAAACAATAAAGCTCAAACAAAAAGGTATCAAACTTGAAAAACTTTATATTAAATGAACACAAATATGAACATTCACACTCGGCTTAGCTCGGTTCGTTTGCAGCCCTAATTACGAACTTTTTCTTATTATTTCAGTTGGTGCAACAAATGGATCTTGAAATTGAAATAACCAAGACCTTAAATGAATGTCAAGTATATGCAAGTAGGGTACAAAAAGAAATATAATGGCAAGATCAAGGAGATGTGAAAGAGTAGGTAGCAAAGTGCATGGCAGAATTGGCTATTATGGCAACTTTAGCCTCTTTGCAAAATCAGCATATCATGGACCGTCTGCATATTGGGTTGGTGGATGGACATGCAATAATCAATCAACATGTTAAAGATCAGCAGGTCCTTGAGGAGAAGATTACATCTATTGAAAATGAGAACATAGACTTTGGAGCTTCGACGTCAGAAAATAGAGGGAAAACTGATATATATCATCAAAGAATTTTCTTGATCGAGCACAAATCTCGAAGCAAAATCAAGTTAGAAACTTCAAAAATTAAATTGAAACGCATATGAATCCCAATTTCAGCAAACTTATAGTCAAATTGAAGGTCTTAAAAATACGAACCCAACAGCACCAAATTCAACCCAATCAGAGCTCAAATATGAGCATCATAATTGAATAACTGAAGCATCACCAACTAATCATAAGTATAGAACTATTTGGATGGCATTAAATTTTAAATTTTAACAAAATGCTAAATGTTTTGGCATTTTATAGGAAAACGTCAAAATATTTGGCATTTTTCTAACACCAAAATATTTTATGTATTTGCTCTTTTTTAAATTTTATGTCAAATATGTTCCTTTTACAAATTTTGATTTTTCATGCTTCATTTTAAAATTTACTCATTTTTATTGTGCCTTAATAAAAATTTTTTCTTGAAATAATCAACTTAAAAAACCCCGATATAATGATAAAATGAATGCACCGATGAGCAAAACATGACAAAAATAAAAAATGCATTTATGAATACAAATGACTGCATTGATTGCGGCTTCATTTGGAAAGGTTTCTTACATTTTTTCCCAAATGAGGCTAAATCGAAGGACCATAGCCTACTTGAATACTTCATAGCATTAATTGGAAGACCAAATGATATCAAAATATGACATGCTTATAGTCAAATCAAGCGGCCTGACGAGACAAATCCAACGAGTCTAAGATCACTCAATTCTGACATCTCTAAGGCACCTAAATGCTTGATAAATGCTCTATAATCAAGGGAGCTAATGCTAGTTGCCCGATGGAACACTCCTACCATGTTTTTGATCTTCTCTATATTTACTAACTATGTCACTCCCAAAATATTATAAATAAGTCATGATTCCTTACATGAAGGGAAGAAGAAAGGAGGAGAAAACATTGTGAGGTCTCTTACCGTCGGCAGATGCCATATCTCTTCCTGTCCACCGACCATTGTTGGATTTCCACCTGTTTGTTGGTCGCCGCCATATCTCTTCCCGACCACCATCATTGTTGGATTTTCACTTATTTGTTGACCACTTCCAGATTTCTTTCCAATAATTGACCCTCACACTAGACTTCTACCCTACCTACTAATTATCATTGGGCTCCAACCAACACCAGCCTTGTTTTGAATATTCTCTGTTATTCAATTAACACCAAGAATACTCGTATGAAGCAATGTTTAAAATTGCGTATTCGGGTATTGAGGCATTTTTCATTCGTGAGGCGAGGCGTAAGCCTCAAGGCGTTTTGAGGCGTAAGGCTCAAAATCAAAAGATTGCGTAAACATAAAATGATAAATTTTTTATATACCAATGAGTGAATAATATAAAACATAAAAAAGCATAAGATATGAAGTGAAATCAAAATATCCCAATAGTAAGACAACATGAAATATAGTTCAACTCAAAATTCTATCTTTCCAAAATCCAAGTATTCTTTTCATTAACCTATAATTCAAATTTCCAAAAAAAAAAAAAAAAACAATGACATATCACATAAGAACTCATAAGTCATCAGCACTGACATCACCAAGGGGTTCTTCATTTGAATCATCATTATGATGGATTGCTCTCTCCTCTTCCTCCTCTCCTATAGAGTCCAATGTTTGGCATTTACTTCAAGATTTATGTAAGTTTTAATATATATACCATGAGGCATAAGCCTCATGCAGTGAGGTGAGGTGAGGCGGGCCTCAATCAAGTTGAGGCGCAAGCCTCATAAAAAAAAACTCGAGGCGTAAGCATCGAGGTGTTTTTTATTGGAATTGTGCAAAGGTGGGCCTCAAGGCGAGCCTCATATTGCGCAATTTTAAACCATGGTATGAAGTCTGGAAAACTTTTTAACATATTGTATTCTTTATATCCTTGAGTTAAGGGACGGCCGATTGACTTTTATAATATGTTCAACTGTTTGTGGAATCATTTCTATTAGGCAAGGCCCTGTGATTTTTCTCTTCTTAGAGGTTTCTACATAAAAATTATGGTGTTTCTTTATCATTTCAATTATTTGTTTGTACGATGAATTTTCGTGTAGACGTAAAGTCTTTTCACTCTACCACAGTGAATTTCTATGAAGAAAATATAAAATAAAAATTTTAAGGATTTGAAATTCATCATTAAATTTTAATATATTTAGAAATCGTTAAATTTGATTAATTTGTAAATATATTATAAATTATTTTTCTTTGTTACTACAAGCTACCACTTTCAACCACTATTATATCCATCACCATCGTCATCATGGTTGTCAGCCATCATCTACCACCATCTCTTTAATATGCCACTGTCATTGTCACTGGATATTGGTCATCACCATTATTGAATTTTACATTACATTTAATTTATTTCAAGTCAAATAAAAAATAATTAACTACTTTTATTTTCTACTCATCTAGATAATTTTAAACATTTCATACCTTGCATCTCTTTTATATTGTATCACATTTTATTATTTTATTCTTTTCTTTTTCTTTCATCCAACTAAACCACCTTTAAACTCTTAAGGGAGTAAAATTTTTATATCATAATACAGTAAAATTTAAAATAAAAATATCATATTATATATGATTATTAAACAACTTTAATTTGGAATCATGGATTAATTAACAATATAAAAATAACCTCTTTTTTTTTCCTTAAAGGCCATTTGTCTCAAGCTAGCGAGCGCATCCGGCATTTTCCAGCTGCCGCCCATGTGATCAACATTGGAAGAGCTCCATCAGAACCATTTGAATTTGACAACGAAGAATATGTTCGCTAGAAGCAGCTCTCCAGCCTATATTTCTGTTACCTCCGGCGAGCTTGCTTACAGAATCTCAGTGATTTAAGTTGCAATGCGATTCTCTATGGTGAAAATGACGGCCATATTTAATATTTCGCTTTCAATCTGCCGTAGCGAGTGAGGAATTTTCAGATATAAAGAGGGGGTTGGTGGGGGTGATCTTTCGCTGTTCTCACTTCTTTGCTTTTGGTGTTTTTCCATTATTTTCTAGTGATATGTTAAGGCAATGTTACATTTTTAGTCAAGCTTTTTTGGGTTTTTTTTTTTCCCCTAGATTGTTAATCTTTTGTGTGTGGCAGGAAGAATGACACTTGAGCGAAAGATTTGATCTTCGAAAGGGTTTTGGTTCAGGGTTTTGTGATTTTGGGAAAAGATGGCAGCTTTGAGCAGTTTAGGGATTGGGCTCAGCCTTTTATCTGGTTGCCTGATACTGGCTTTAATTGCTGAGCTCTTCTACTTGTTCTGGTGGAAGAAGAGGGCTGCGAATAGGGAGAGAGAAGAAAACTACAGAAGCCCAGCAAGAGAGCTTCTTTGCTTTTTATGCTGGAGAAAAGCATCTTCTTTGAGTTCAGCTGCTCTCAAACCTCAAGAAATATGCAGTTCTGCGAACTTCACTAGTGGATCTGATGATGTTCATCTCCATTCCAGCTCCTGCAAGAATTTCCTGAGACCTTTTGGGGCAGAAGGAGAAAGTCTGGATGTTGAGCTGATGAGGCTGCATAGCCTCTCTGGTCCTCCAAGGTTTCTTTTCACCATTAAGGAGGAGACGAAGGAAGACTTGGAATCTGAGAATGGAAGGAGCAGGAAGGGTTCAAGAGGAGGGAGTTTGAGTGATTTGCTTTTCCCTTCTGTGACTCCATTTCTAACCCCTCTTTCATCTTCGCCTTTCTTCACTCCACCCTTAACCCCTTCGGATTGTTACAGTCACCATGGACTCAATCCCCTCTTCAAGCCCCCAAAAAATGATGATTTGAGCATAAGAATCAGGTCCTCACCTCCTCCAAAGTTCAAGTTCTTGAAAGATGCTGAAGAGAAGCTTTATAGGAAGACGCTCATGGAGGAAGCTCTTAAGGCTCATAGAAGTTATCTTGTTCAGAATGTTGCAAAGATGGAGAATTTTTCTGTTCCTGCTCATTCTCCTGTTGCTGCTGCTGGGATTAATTCTTTCCCTTCTCCTTCAGATGAGAATGATGGGTCTGTTATCACCATTGTGTTTGGTAAGAACTTAGATAAAGAGCACCAACATCTTCGCAATTCAAGTTCCTCATAGGTGAATCCATTGTCTTCCCCTCCTATCATTTAGATCCATTAAGTGACAGCAAAATGGCATGTTTTATGTAGCATGCTGGTCACTCTTGTTTTATGTAGCATTACATTTGTGTTATGCTGTGGTTTCGTTTGGGAGTGGTTTCTTCCTGTTTTTTCAAGTAGCTTTTTAGCACAATTTTTTTTTTTAAACCTACTTTGAAAAATAATAAGAAAGCGCTCCTAAGCAAAACCTATATAGTGTTCATCTTTGTTTTTTTTTTCCTTTGTTAATTTATCTTGTTTTTATTTTTTGTTAGTTAGCCGAATGTTGGACATTAAAAGAGAAGCTTAATATTAAGTTGAGTGTTGCAGAGATGAGGATGCTCAAGTGGATGAGTTGTTTTACCCTTAGAGATAGGATAAGAGCTGAGCATATGCGTGAAAAGGTTGGAATAGCTCCAGTGGAAGAAATTACATAAAACGGCGGCCTTACGATGAGCCGGGTAGGAAAGTAGAGGTATTAGATTTGACTTATGTTAAAAAAGGTAGAGGTAGAAATGATCTTTCTTTATTAGACTTAAACGAGAATTTGACTTTTAATATGACACAATGGAGAAAAATGATTCATGTAGTCGACCCCAAGTAGTGGGATAAAGGCTTGTTGTTGTTGTTGTTGTAGCCAATGAAATATGTTGGTTTCTATGTGATAATGCACTTTTGGTCTTCTTGATATTTAGGAAGCTGCCGATACTTGAACTATTTAAGTCATTTGTTCAAGATGTTAAAGTATGTACATGTGGATTGTTTCTAAGAAAAAATTATTAAAAAATTCTTAAAGCAATTTTTTTGTTCAAGTCATTTCCTTTGTCATCTCACTTCACATTGAAGCCTGATATAGGGTTAATTTCTGCTCTTGAAATGATTGACTGTGGTGCTGCCGACTCTTTGTTAAAAGAAGTATCTTTCTTTTAGGATGAAAGTCTCTCCTATGCTTTCTATTACTTTGAAACAAACTATCAAAACCTTGAGATTTCGAATAATATGCCACAAAGTAGAACACAAGATAAAGAGAAAAATACAACCAGAGAATATATCAATATTTACTTGATTGGCTTCTACTGAGCCTACATTCATTGGAGAGGAGAGATAATCTAATCTACTAACAAAGAACTCACAAATATGCCATAGAAATTGTAGAAATACATAGACAAGCAGGATAAAAGAGGATTCCTAAATTGATTTCTTGAATTCAATAGTATTGTATTACATGTTACACGTATATATATAGTTGGAGAATATTAGACACAATACTTCACGATGTGGGATTAATTATATAGCTCATTGGGCAGGAGAACGAGAAACTCACAAATCCACATCAGGATATTGTACATTCTTAGGAAATAATTTAATTTCTTGGAGTGTTAAGAAACATCATACAGTAGCACGATCTTCAACCGAAGCTGAATATGAAGCATTAGCCTCAACGACAACAGACATTATATGGCTTCAAAAATTGCTACAAGACTTTCATATCCAGTTCACTACACCTACTGAATTGAGTTGTGATAACACATTAGCTATTGCACTAGCTAACAATCCAGTATTTCATGCAAGAACAAAGCATATTGAGATTGATCATTACTTCATTCGAGATCACATTCAATCTCACACAATTCGAGTAATTCCAATCTACACTAAAGATCAAATAGTCGATATACTCACCAAATCTCTTTTCACACCAAGGTTTCAACTGCTTAGAAACAAGCTTACTGTCCAACAATGCCCATTAGCTTCAGGGGGGAGTAATAATAGCTATATGATTAATCTCACATCGTGAAGTATTGTATTAGACGTGTATTCTCCAAATATATATATACTTGTAACATGTAATACAATACTAGTGAATTCAAGAAATCAATTCAGCAATCCTCTTTTATCCTGCTTGTCTATGTATTTCTATAGAAACTAAGTGGACTCATTCATTTTTTCCCAATTCTCTAGTACGCCCATACTCAAATGACAAATAAGCAATCACAAAATTAACCTTGCACTGTTTCTTATAATGAAGCCTTCTTCAAAAATACATTAATCTATCATTTAGATTCGAATAGTTCTGAAATAGCCTGATGAGTAGTTTTTTCGGAGCTGGCTTTTGCTTAGGGGATAGACATAAAAATGCCTTCATAATCCACAAAACTGTGGAATCCAAATATGTGAATGGCTGTTGCTATGAGGCAATTGTCATATACTAATAATTCTATTGAACAATGGAAAGATTTTATTAATCAACGATGAACTATACTTTTCTATTTGAATTAAATTAAAGTTTATCATGTACAATAGTTAATTACCATTTGTTAATAAAAACCAACATTAAAATTCATTAATCATTTTATCATTTTTTTATATTAATATTTTTTGCTACATGTCAAACATTTTAAAGAAGAATGTAACCGATCTCTTCAAAATAATCAAATGAAATATGGTTGTAGGTGCATATTAATGATACGTGATTTATTGGAGCTAAGACACTTAAGTACTATGACGATCATTGCCTCTATAGCACCCAGCGAATCAGAACGCGCCACATCATCACGTACATAGCTGCGGTACACAACAAACGGGTGACGTGACGCATTCTGATTCACCTTTGAATGGCGTCTGTATCCGCACAAAATAATTTCACCTCTTCAAGAGCATCTTCACCTTCTCGTGAAAAAAAAAATAGTTTTAAATATTTGTCTCATCAAGAGAGATTATATATAATATTAATCATATTTTGAAGATATTTAAGAAGAAGACTTCTTTTAGCTAATATGATTTACTATGATTTTTTATAAAGATGGATATAAAATTAAATAAATTTTTAAAAGTAAAAAATCATTTAGCTCCTTGTAATTATATGAAAATCAATTCTATTATTTTTTAATGATGAAAATTAAATGAAGATTAGTAAATTAGGTTTTAAAAAAAGAAATAGTTAACTAAATTACACAAGCATATCCTCATGCAATTTATGTCAACATAAGCTTAAGAGCTCGCTCTTGGAATTACACCGAGATTAATAATGTTTATAATATCATATATAAGTACTTATCTAAATATAAATCTAATGACTTTTAAGCCCATTGGATACAAAATATGTTCATTCAAATTATATTGTAATTCTGAAAAAACATAGATTCTAAAAATATCCAACCAAACTACTCCATACTAGATTTCCATGCCCTGATGCTTTTATCCGTTATGTGCCAAAATTTAAACCAGAGCAGGAGGCCTTGAGTTCAATTGAATATGGGCTTCATTTGGGAAATTTTTTTATTGCTTTTTAGAATATTTTTTGGTACAAAAGTTTTTAGCTAAAAAAATTTTTGTACTTAAAAAATGCTTTAAAAATACTGAAAAACTGCCTCAAACAAAGCCTGTATTCTCTATTCAATTTTCCACAATAGCATCCATCACGCAGGCTAGCCAAATTGGACAATAGAATTCTATTTAATATAAATTTTATTAATCCTCATTTCATTCATTCTTGTTAACATTTATTAGAGATGTTGCGGGCTAGAATATTTGCGTAGTAAAATAAGAGAATTTTCGGACGTCAAAGGCTCAAAACCATCAGTTGCATATATATATATATATATATATATATACTAGTTCCTCTCATATTTTCAGGCGTCAAAGTCTCAGGAGTTAGAAAATATGTCAAAGTTTTCAAAAAACATCAATTGCAAAAATATAAAGTTTGGGAAATAACAAGGCGCGACCGCTCCTTAGACATCAATGTAGATTTCCCCTCGTGGTTGTGGACCAAGTAAACCCTAATTATATATTTAACATGTCCTGGGGTTGGTGCGTTGATTGGAACAAAAATTGTTGAGAAATTTCTTCTTAAAGGTCACGTCACATTCAGATTCAAATGGTTAGATATCCGTACTCGAGATTCATCAAAAAATTGGGCCAAAGAATTTTTCTGTGAAGAATGACTAAAATCATTTGGAGAAATGAAAAAAAGTTGAAGGATTTACTTGTTTCTCTTCATAATGAAGCAGAAGATATATTGAAGATGCACAACAAAAATCTTCTCTATGAGGTGCACTATCTGGGTAAATATGTAGAAGAAGAATATATGTTCAAAGTTGGATTGTCTACTCAGGCGGGGAGGTCTCATGCGATCATGTTAAAGAAGTCGGCAAAAGTTCAAAAAACATATGCTCAAACTTCAAAAGTTGATTTTAAATTATTAGGAAATGATGATGGTCCATAGGCCTCATCCAGTAAGAAGAAGGTGGAGGAGACTTTAGCAAGTACCGAGAAATATCACAAAGATTCTTCTCCTTCCAAGTTACATATTTCGGAAGATGTCTTGAATCACCAATGTATTGAACGTCGACAAGATGATGACTTGGTGAGTAGCCACTTCTTTTTTGTTCTTCTTTTGTACATCTATAAGGACATGTCTCTTACATATATCATCTTATTATTTTAGTTGCTGTAGTGCATGGATATTGAAATTGAGCTAACTCAGGCCTTGAATAATTGGAAGGATGAATTCATGAAAATTAAATATCTTCAAGGAGATATAAGCAAAAAAATGATAACAAGACCTAGGAGATGAAGACAATGGAAGAAACGTTAGTAGAATGCATAGCTGAATAGACTAACATATAACTTCTGCTTCTTTGCAGAATCAACATATGGATTGAATTCACATTAAATTGGTAGATGCACAAACGATGGTTAATCAGTATATGAAGGACCATTAAATACTTGGAGAGAAGATAACAACCCTTGAAGATGGAAATAAAAAACTTCAGATTCTTTTAACTGAGAAAGAAATTGCTCAGTCAAAGGCCAAGTCTAAATCAAAATTTTCATCTTCAAAAGCCTTAACAAGTCTGAAGCCTTTAAGAATATAATTCAAGATCATGTTCATATATGTCGGCCTTAGAGCTACAGCGTATTGAAGAAGGTTTTATTCGAGGCTTTCTAAAAGGAGTTCGCTTGATACAACATAAAATTAGAGTTGAAGTTGAAGGGTTGTCACACCGATGATTTTGCTTCAGATTCAAGCGATGTGATATTGAAAGTGTGCTAAATAAAGCATTTACCAACGAGGACAAAAATGTTGAGATTGTTAGTATTTTTTTATCACTAGTTGTATCTCTTTATATTTCTTAATGATTATTATATATATCAGAAGTTTATGTGCTTATATAGTTTATGTGATCCTTTTGTGATATAACAAAGAGTTGTTCAGACTTTTTTTATATAAAACTTGTTTGATGGCTTTTATCTTATCTCAAGTTAGATGGTGAAAAAATGTTTCATGGCTTTTATCTTATCTCAAGTTAGATGGTGAAAAAATGTTTAAGTGAACTCACTCGACTCGAGCGAATTTGATAAGCATCTTGACATATCCGAAGTTGTTAGTTAAAGTATTGCTTGATGAGATTTAACATGTATGGAAGATGTCAGATTAAATCCTTTTGGGATTAATCATCTAGTGATTGAGATACAATGAAAATTGTTTACTTCTTAAATTAAAGATAAAATATTAAATTTCATTGTTTGTTTGAGAATGTCGTCATGATCTTTTTTGAAGAAGATAATGCTAGTAATGAGCGAATAACATATCACTGCATTATATAAGATAATACACGATTCCCTAATATAACTTAAGGATATTTTTTTATTTAATTTTTTTTATAATATAACTTAGGGATATAAGAGTTACATAACATTCAATATAGAGGGGGTACATAAATACATGGACTACATGACACTCAACTCAGAAAGCATACAGGATATAAGACAAGTAGTATATCACCTGCTAATAATATTTGCGAAGATTTTCAATGTTTCAAGTTTGATGTAACAATTTTCTGTCGACATCCTTTAACTTGAAAGTTTCAGGCTTGACTATGACTGCTACAAAATAAGAAACTTTCCAAAGATGAGAGAGTTTGTTACGTTGGAGGCCCTTTCCAGCTACCTTAATGCTACGCAGAACTAAGTCTCCAATAGAGGAATCTCATAATGAAACTTGTTACATAGTTAATTTTGCAACTAGGCCAGGTCCCGTGATTTTTCCCACTCTGCAGCTATGTTGGTTGGGAACTTTTGTTATCAATCAAGAGGTTTTGGGATCCAGCCTTGCGCAAGTGATTTGTGTCTAAACCCTAAACTCTTAATCCTAAACCCCCCAAAAAAAAAAATACTGATGGTCGAACAAAGCATGAAAAGGTTGGCAGTATGATAATTATTCAAAGTACAGAGTTTAAATCCGCATTGCATCCTCCATTTAAACACAAATTGAAGCAATTGCATCCTTATTGTTACAGTTGTAAACTTTATGGAACAAATAACTGCCATATAAGCACAAGAATTTCATAAGAGACAGAAGCTAATTGCTGTCTTGAACAAATGAGGTTTCGATCAGGAGAAATTTGAATATAATTTTCTGAAATGAACTCACAGTATTCAAACAAAGAGTTCACAGAATTCCATCACTCGACCATCAAAGGTATTCATGTATTTTACTCTTCAGCTGCAGCACTGGCTGCGCTGAGATCTACAGACAAATCAAGCTCCTGCATCATGAATAAGTTCAGTTGGTGAGCGGATAGATTAGTAGATGATAGTTTTTAAAAATAATCTAAACTATTACTTGTAATGTACATTCTGCATGCTAAATAAATATACTTTTGATGGGACAAAATCTTAAATATAAAATGGCCTGCTAAGAAAAAAACGTAATAATCTACGATGATATAATTTGATAGATTAACATGCTAAATAAGCGAGGGAACAGTTGAAAAATAGAAAAAAATTTAAAGTAGTTCTCTAAGGGTCTATTTGGGATAACTTTTTCATTGTTTTACTTTTCAAACAACAATCATAATTTCATTTGGCTACTAATTTTTTTGTTGATTTCTGATAGGAAATACTTGAGTTCTCAAGTATTCCTAACCCAAACCAGTAAAAATACAGCAGCCAACTGCTGTTCACAGCAGCAAAACAGCAGAAATTTAGCAAAAACGCAGCAGGAAATAGGGAAATGAGGAGAAAAACACAAGATTAGGCTTGTATTTCACTAGAAATCAAAGAAAATAGCAAGGATACAATTTGTTCTTCAATCCGAGAGGAAGAACAACTCTCCAACGATCTCCGGCAAAGCCAAGAGCCCAAGCACACAAACCCTAGATCTCAAATAGAATTCAAATTCCAGATAACTCTAAATTCCTCCAAAATGCCTAATTAAAGACAAAGGAATAATTCAAATTGCCTAAATAGCCCCTAGTTCAAAAAATTTCCCTCCTAAACTTGCATTGAGCCCATGGTGGGCTCCACAAGGCTTCCGCCCCCCTTACTGGGGTTCCGCCTGGGTCTTTCTCCGTCTGGAGTAGACCCGGACCGGTCCCTCCTGGACCGGTCCAGCCGGCCCGGGCCCGGCCCAGCCGGCCCTTCCTGGGCCGGCCTAACAATTTCTCACTGTTTTTCAAAAATTTCTGCGGTGGAAAATTATTTTTTTACAACCATAATAGCGAAGTTGTTTTGCACAACAACTTCACAACCAAATTTATAAAACGTTTCAGCCATCCCAAATGAACTCTAAATATTCATATTTGAGCAATTTAATTATAAAATATGACATTTCTTGAATTTGGACCCATGAATATATAAAATTGATCACAAATGATTCAAGATCAATTTTGAATCCTAATTTCAGTTAATTTCTAGTTGAAGGATTATTTGGGATCAATTTTGGTAGTTCAGAAATTAAATTGTAGTAGTACTCTTAGGGTAAATTGGTCATAAACAAATGGTGGAGGGACATTTTTGGGCTCTCTCTCTTGTTAAGAAAATGCATCAGATAGTCTAATGTGAACAGTACCTTCCCGGTTATCTTTCTGTACATGGATATCACATCTTGAACGGTTGATTCAAAATGGGTTGTTGCATCATAGCTCTGCAGGAAATTGTTATATATTATTACAGCTAATTAAAGTAATTCCCAAACAATGTCGAAAAGCAAATAATAGACATTTGGAGGATAGAGATAAGAATATAACAAAGAAATGAATAATTTAGCTCATACTTAACTGTTGAAATGAAGCAACTATCCTTCTGACTATTATTCACTGGCTCATATCTATCATATATATCAAAAAAGGTTTCATCTACAGGTCCAAGCAGATCCATTCCAGGTTTCAATTCAACCTCAGGTCGGTCGGTCTCAGCTTCAGTTGAAACAAATGCAATATATTTTCCCTCTGGAGCTATGTTATGAGAATAAGAACAGCAGAAAACGTACCTGGCACCAGCAGTATTAATGGAGGTGTAAGATGAGGAGTTTCTGATTTATTTGTTTAAGGAACACTGCATATTTAAACAAGTACCCACACACACCACTATACACTATAGACTTGCTTATCCATTCCATTTCTTTTTTAAGCTATTGGTACAGGAGACGCTACTATTCCAATCCATCTAACATCTCTTCAAAACATAGAATGAAAAAAAAATAACCTCTCAACCTTTTAAGCGCAAAGCCAAAATGAACAAGTAGATATAAAAACTTTAAAACCTCCCAGGCTCTCACCCTCGCAAGTAACATAAATTAGAAGTTAAATGACAGAAATTTACATAACATACATGTCAGATTTGCGGCCCAATTGTTTCTGTGGAAGAATGATCTGCACTGAGTCTGAATTATTGGTATCTGTAATGGGATGACTCATTATGCAAATAGCACGTGTTACTCTTCCAACTTTTTTCACCTGTTAAAATTATTTTATTTTAATTCCGACCCGCATAGTAGAATAAAAGCTTGTTGCTATTGTTGTTATTGTTAAACGATTTCTTGCACAAGTTACCAAATGAAAAATTAAATCTTGCAAATAGTTTGGATTCAAAGATGTTTACCTTGTCAGGCAAGTAGGAAGGATCACAGACAACCTTTTTACACTTTGCAGTCTCTCCTTCAGATGTAACTCCATATGCTTTTCCATTTTGGTCAAACTCAACCTATAATCAAACGAAGCATATATGGATGGAGCTTGTAGCATAAAAGACTATAATACTTTGTGACTAAAATTTTTTTCTATTTAAACTTAGTCTAAATGGTCGTTCACATGGGGCGAGTTTTAATCCAAAAATTAGGCAAATTTCCTAATAACGAGTGAAAGAACACAAATAAGAAAAAAGTTTTACAAGTAGACTGAAGCTTTGTTTGGGACGGCTTTTTTACTGCATCTTAAAGCAACGTTTTAGCATAAAAAATTTAATTTTTGTATTAAAAAACTGCTTTAAGAAGCAGTAAGAAAGCCGTCCAAAACGAAACGTGAGATGACTGGGTTGAACTAGGAAATAATATAATCTTCGGAATGATATCGAGTTCGGACCTTGCATTCTGGTTTGTTGAGCATATAGGTGCCACCATAAACAGCACTAAGACGAGCAAAACCCTGGATACAAGATTCTAAGATATTCAAAGACTTAAAGAATTAAATCAAAAATGGGAACAACAATAGTTGGGAACAAACCTGTGGTAGTTCTCCAAGCCCATATTGAGGGTAAATATAAGGAGATCCACCTTGAAAGCGTGCAAGTGAATCTGCATATAGCTGTTCAAGAAAACTTGGGAATGATAATCACTATAAACATTGCAAAAAAATGGCCAAATTTATATCAAGCAACAATGACAGTTTTGTAGTTGTCTGACCACAGATATTAAAACAAACTTTCGGACTTTAGTTATAAGTGGTGCTTAGTTTGCAAGTCCTGTACTAATGAATAAAATAGGATTTGTTTTCTGTTTCTACTGCAATTAGGGCTGAAAATTTAATGCATAAAGTAGAGATCGCTCTAAAATTGTATCATTTTTAAGCTCTTGTCAGAATAATGAGCTGATTAATGAGTCATAATTGGCTCAAATCTGATGCGGTGGATCGACCGGAAACGGACCTACTTGAATGTTTTCCCAATCCAGGGAATAAACACAATCACAAAGCTTCAAAGCTTTAAAAAGAGATAATATTTATTGATTATGTTTCCTACTACAACCTTCTATATATAAGCCAAACATGAGAACTTTCTACAAAGAAGTATAAAATTAGATCTACTATTCCTAAGGAAAACTATAACTAAAATGTTCCGCATCATTCTCCCCTTGTGTCAAAATAGCTCGACTCCGTCGTGGCGCGGTGTTTGATCCAGGAATCCATTTTCTACACCTACCTCCCTTTTGATACCACGCCTCGACGGAGTCGAGCTCTTTTGACGTAAGGGGAGAATGATGCGGATCATTTTAGTTATAATTTTCCTTAGGAATAGTAGATCTAGTTTTATACTTGTTTCTAGAAACTTCTCATGTTGGCTTACATATAGAAGGTTGTAGTATGAAACATAATTAATTAATATTATCACTTTTTAAAGCTTTGAAGCTTTGTGATTGTGTGTTTATTCCCTGGATTGGGAAAACATTCAAGAAGGTTTGTTTTCCAGTCGATCCACTGCATCAAAATCAAACTTGTTTGAAATGTGCTAGCTTTATGATGGAACGAACCATGTATGAATACATATCTGAGTATATGATTATTTACTCTAACATGCATGCATGTATAATGATGTATGTATATATGCAGTATTGAAATATCTTTCAATATAAAATCAAATTTGTTTTTGTCTCGGATCGAATAACAAGCTTCTTCTAGCTTGAAAATTTGTACCATGATTTACTTGAATCACTAGTGAGATTCACAGATGACTAAAGGTATTTTTACATTTACTTCGATTGAGCTGAGGCTTCCAATTCTTAGTATCATAGCCTATAGGTAGAGGAAACTCATTTTGAGATTTAATTGTAGGCCTATGAGCTAATATTATGCAGGAATTAAATTTTCTCGAAATGAAATTTTGCATTTCTTTTACTTCAAACTAAACATCAGTATTTTTAAAATACCTACATAATACTTTAAACCCTATTTACTTCAAACCAAACAGTCCCATAAATTTATTGTAGGCTTGTTACCACCATTTACCAAATATACTATAAATTCTTTCTCCATTAAATTAATTATTAAGTTCAATATAATAAAAATAAAATAAAAACAAATAAAAACCATTACCACATGGGTAGTGAATTGTCCACATGGCATGTAAGTTGTGGTCCACATCGTAACTTCGTCTGATTTACAAATTTAAAAATATTCCTAACACCCCAACGGCACAGACTTTTTCATTAATTTTAATGGGATGGTCCACAATAATGTCTAATGATAGTTAATTTTTTTTCTATCACAATCTATTTTATATGCAGCATTTTACAATTTTTGCTGCTTATATCGAGGGTTTAACATTATTTAACTATCACTTGATGTCTTCAAACAAGTAATTCGGTTTTGGAATTCTTTAAAGGAAAGAATCCTTCAACATTTTGGCTCTCTTCATGTGTTCATTGAACATGTTCTTGAAGATGAACCTTTAAATCAAGCGGACCACAACATCACATCCCCATATATGAAGGAGATTATAAAAGAATGGGATTTGCAGATGGTTAAAGCAATACGATAGGTACACAAGACTAATCAACTGAAATTGTGGCCATATGAAACGATTGTCATATTCATAATCACCAAGGGATGAACTCAAGGATTTCATTAAGTGGTAATCTATCATTTTTTTTTTGGTGTCATCCTTGTGTTAAAGCACAGAAATGGAACTCCTAATAGATGGTCGCCGTCTCTATTGGATTAACTTAGTAGTCTAACCTTGATGACAAAATTGTTATGAGAGAGGGAATAATGATGTGAATATATCAATTTAGTAGTTAATGGTAGATTAATTAGAATGAATACTTAGCTTAGTGCATTTTAGGTACCCCCATTTGGGGAAGATGAGATACATAAACTCAATTAATAAGTTCCCCCATCTCTCTCGTGCTGGTTAAGTTTGGGGCAGCAGTTTGTGTGGCTCTCGCTTCGGGCCCCCCAAAACATCTGCACAAAGGTAGCATTCCCATTTGCTCTCATTTGTTAAAAGGTAAAGAGCGACTACTCGTGGGTCTGCCCAATGACCACTAGCCACCATATTGAGACCTTGCCACCATGCTAGGAACATTTGTGGCATTCCAAACTCACAATTGATGCTAACATATGGGTGAACTTGTGTTGAATGGTACACTAATGCAAAAGAAAAAAAAAATCAATTACAAAGCTCGCACTTGTTTGATGCCAAACTCCCCACGTTCCGTAAATACCGTTCAAATCCCGCATTACCGCGTACATGTTCGAAGTCATGCTCCGCACGAATTGCCTCTGAACCTACTTGTTAAAACTCCCCTCGACGATCCGAAAAAGAAAAAAGAAAAGAGGTTGTCCGCAGAGAGGCCAAGGCACGAATTTTTGGAGCCCAGAACTTGACAATATCCACTAAAAGGCAATATGGTCTTAGTATCTCTGGCATTTCAGTGACACTAGAACATGTCCGATTAACGCACATTTAGGTAAGGGATTTTTAACCATCCAGGTAATGTCTGGGGATTTTATACTCTCTCACCGTTCAACACCATAATCTGAAAGTTATAGTTATGATTTGTTCAAGAATATTGATTATTAAAGGCTAAAACCTGCAATAAAACTATAATCAAATCATCTACATCCTCCCAAAAAAAAAAGAACTCCAGCAGCCCCATGATCAACGGAGTCTGGAAGAGAAATGCTATTAAAAAAAATCAAGAGCTTATGTCATTATCTTCAAGTCTTCAAATAATATAAACTACCGCAACAAGAAATTAATGTTCATTTTCCAAGAATTGGTAAATTGTTAATTCATATTTTACCTTCATTCTCTTTACTGTGTCAATGGCAGGCTTGTCCAGGTAATCATCATTCGTGTGAAGTGCCAAAGCATGCCCGATAAAGTCAACTGTGTTGTCATCTAGCCCATATTTCCTACAAAATGAAGCACATTTTACAAAAAAACTCATTATGGGAATTATATCTTTAAGAGAAAAAAAAGGGGTAACATATGATTCATTATAGGATTGGACGCCTAGCTTTAAAGCCATATAAAATTAAATAAAACATGAAGCCTTTCGATCATATAGATATTGATGGTTAAAATTTTCAACTAATACCAAAAATTAAGAATTTACTTTGATCATTACAAAATTTCTTCACGTAATTCCTTTCAAGGGAAATTTCAATTTAATACTTTTCCAAGTATCATTTATTTGTTTAAAGATCAATCTACTTCTACTATCGAACTATTATAAATAATTCCTCTTCATAGGTCAAATGCATTTCAGCAAAAGATGTATGAAATTGTTGAAAATCAAAATAAAATGTCTCATTTTCTTTCATATTAGTATCCATATCCTCTGAAAACTATATCTAATATCAGATTCTAACTTTTACAATCCAAATAACGGACATGTAAACATTGGTCAAGAGATGTAGATCTTTTTGGTGAACGTTCAAAAACAAATTAATAAATAGGAATAAAGGCCAAGCTCGGTGTTATCTTAGGTAAATAAAACTATATAATGCACGTAGTTTTTGTAGAAACTCATGTGATGTATAAAGAAGTATTCATCTACTAGCATATGAAATCAGAGAAGGTAATTTCAGTAAACATGTTTTCTGTATATCTACACAGTAAATACAATAGTGAACTTATATCTAAAGGCTAAAAGAAGAGAAAATGCTAGGCTTCCCTTGGTAGTTACATAAAGCAGTAAAAGAGTCAACCAAAACAGAGTAGTGGAAGCCACCTGTATGCAGAAATACAGAGAATATTCTGCTGGAAGTTATTCGGCTGTATGGCTTAATGTAGTAAGACTGTAAGAGTGTTATTATCAGCTCCCCTCAAGTTGATGGAAGGTACAACCATCAACTTGTCGCGAAGGAGTGAGAGTCTTTGAGTATAGAGAGATTTAGTAAAGATGTCTGCTATCTAGTCCGTGGAAGAAACATGCTTGACAGTGATGTGATGAGCTTGAACGCAGTCCTGGATCAAATGATGATCTATCTCGATATGCTTTGTTCTAGCGTGGAAGATGGGTTTGGAAGCTATGTACATGGCAGAGATATTGTCGCAGTAAAGAGAAGTGGACTGAAGTGGTATGGAGAAATCTGCGTAGAGACGACGAACCCAAATAAGATCAACAGCTGCTACGGAAAGAGATTTGTACTCGGCTTCACTCTATGAGTGAGCGACGATGGATTGTTTATTGACTGACCAGGAAATTAGAGCATTGCCAAGAAAGATACAGAAACCCGTGGTAGACTTCCTATCTTGAATATCACTAGCCCAATCAGTGTCGGCAAATGTTGAAAGTGTAAGATTAGATCGGGGAAGGAAAAGACCAAAATTGAGTGTCCCTTTGAGGTAATGTAAGATTCGTTTCATTAGTTGGAAATGGCCAAGCAATGGTTGATGCATATGTTGGCATAGCTTGTTAACGGCAAAGGCGATGTCTGGCCGAGTGTTCGTATGATACTGAAGAGACCCTGCGATCTGGCGAAATGAAGTAGGTTGGCTGCAGGGAACTTGTAGTTGCAAATCCGTCAGCCATTTAGAAGGCAAAGGAGTAGAAAGAGTTTGGACTCAACTATGCCGACACCTTTAGCCCTGTTGCCAAAATGACAATCATCTGTGTCCTACTAACTATAGCCCTCCATATGAATTGGTCACTACATCAACTCGATGTGTCTAACGCATTCCTACATGGCCCTCTAGAAGACACCATTTACATGACTCAACCCAAAGGCTTCGAAGATACTCATTATCTCAACCATGTTTGTCTACCTAAGAAGGCTATCTATGGGCTCAAACAAGCTCCCAGGCAATAGTTTCACACCTTCTCCAACCATCTAGCGTCTCTCGGCTTTCTCCCAAGCAAGGCCAATTCCTCTCTCTTCATCCTTACTTCTCCCATTCACTCCACATATCTTTTTATCTACATGGATGACATCCTCCTCAGCGGCTCTTCTACCACTCATCTCAAACAAAACATACACAATCTCCAATCCACCTCCTTTATGAAAAACCTCAGCAATCCTTCTACTTTCTTAGGAATTGAGATCACTAAGCATTATGAATCTCTGTTTCTATCTCAAGCAACCTACACTACTTCCTTTCTTAATAAAGTTGGCTATTTATCATGCAAACCAACCCTCAATCCCACCTCCACCAACTGCTCGACCTCTCCACAATCAGCTGCCACTTCTTTTTCCCCCACACTGTATCGTCATCTAACCTGCTCCCTACAATATCTCACTATTAATTGCCCCGATATTGCCCATGTTGTTAACCAATTGTGCCAACAGATGCACGATCCAGCTCCGGTTCACTCTCAATGGCTTAAGCACCTGCTTCGATATCTCAAAGGAACGATCAACTACGGCCTCCCAATCACAAAGGGTTCTCTTCTCCTCAGCTCATACGTTGATTTTGATTGGGCCAACGATATTCACACTCGCCAATCTACTACAGGTCACTGTTTGTTCCTAAGCTCCACTCTCATATCCTGGAAAGTAAAGAAGAAGCCCACTATAGCCCGCTCTTCCACTGAAGCAGAGTATCAAGCTCTTGTCGTAGTAGTAGCTGACATTGTCTGGCTTCAGCATCTTCTTCAAGACTTCCACTTTCCAGTCACCAAGCCAACTACACTTCACTGTGACAACCAGTCCGCCATTGTGTTGGCCAACAATCATGTATTCCAGACACACACAAAGCACATTAAGATAGACTATCATTTCATTCGGGAACAAATTCAAGCGAAACACATCACCTTACTTCCTATTGCCTCACAAGAACAACCTGCCGACATTCTCACCAAGCATCGATCTCACAGTCAGTTTCAATATCTGCGGACCAAACTCATGGTTCAGCAGTCACCACCATGTGTTTGAGGGGGGATAATACTCATAAAGTAACAGCACATGTGGAGCAGCATCAACAAATTAGAACCATTAGTCTATAACAAGCTGATTCATCTTAATCGTACACATGCAAAGGGTAAAACAATATACTGCACCCATTGTACAGAGCTAGCTCTATATATTTACCTCCTGTGTAAAGCACAAGATGACTTGATAATACAAAATGATCATTTCACTTTCTTTCTATTTTCGGTAATCTCATCTGTAAAGACAAAGCTACTTTACAGCTTTTACAATATTGATAGATCTGTCTAAATAATATCAACTTGTGTATCTTATATATGTTTGTGATCAGGTGTTCTCATTTTCTTAACTTGATTTTTTGTTTAATTTTTTATTAGGGGGCGACCATGCATGGCACTTCTCGACCGAGTCTCCGAGAGACAGTTGAACGAGCGATTCATGAATGCAGCCGGGTCAGACGAGCCAATAACTCAAACGCATTCGGTCAGTTTTTTGAGCAAGAATCACAGCGTGACCTTACCTTCACCATGATACGGACTCCATGCCCCCGATGAGGCTGTTTCGAACTTGGTTCAGTTCAACTCCAGCAATTCTTTTGATAGGCATTCAATTTCCTCATTTTTTCTGGACTAATTCGAGCTTTCAAACTTGGGCCAGTTCCTCATTTATTTTATCAATGTGGTATGACAAAGCCCATCTTAGACTGTTCGTAGTAGTGAACGGGGAGCTACGGCTGATCGAAAAGTGAAGATAGGCGCATAGTTCAGTGATCTATCCACGAAAAAGGGAACTCACAGAGGTAACGATCCGCATAGCACAATTCTTCTTGTTTTTGGGTTGGTTTGCCCAGGTGACTGATCCTGCCATAATGTACTCCTACCTATTCTATTGCACCGGAAACCGAAGTCGAACCTACATATGATGATCTTCATGCGTGAAGGGAGGAAAGAAAGGGCGGTCTAAGTGAACCTTGTTAGCTTTCTCTGTCCAAGAAGCTATTGCAAGGAAGTTTCCGTCGGCATCCTATCTTAATGCCTCTTGACGGGGGGAATGCAATTTGTTTAGCTTGATGTCCATTCAATGAAGAAAGATGCATTTCCATTCATCTGGGGGCTAAGCGATCTGCCGAAGCTGTGGGATGTAAAAATGCATCGATAGGGGAGCGTCCGCCTTAGAGGAAAGCACCCGCGCAAGCAGGTGTGGACGAAGCAGAAGCGAGAATGTCGGCTTGGGTAACGCACCCAAAAAACCAAACTCTATCTTATGTAAAGTTGTCAGAGTACGATTAACCTCTGGATATGAAATCACTGCTTATATACCTAGTATTGGCCAAGAATAAGCGGCCACCCAGGAATGACGGGCCAAGCGGCACAAGCTATTAAAGCGGGCAGGCATTTCTATTTTCTATAGTAGTGTTAGCTGTGCAAACCAAGCAAAGCACACGAACAGCTAGGCTGACAAGGTCGCCGACTACTACTAAGAACCTAACAGAGCTTGATGTGACTATGGGCCGAACCAAAACAAAAGACTTTTTTTTTTCTCTCCACATGGACTAATCCACCTACTCGACTTCTTGAATTCATATTTCAAGCAAGACGTGTATCTACTCCAATGATACTATTGTTCCGGACCATTATGGGCAAAGATCCGGGTAAGATATGCATTTCCTCGGGAATGAAAAAAATATATATCTACTTTCATTTGGTATTTCAGACTAAATTCTTTTGCTCCTCGATACTCAGACTTCAAGACAGAGGGCCGTGAGCTGCTTTTAGCACAGCCGGGATTTATTAAGGTAGTTGTTCAACCGAGGGAAAGAAACATTCAATCCTAGGGACCATGGAGAAAGAGGAAGCTGTTCCCTGGTGCCCTTCGTTGATTACCTTGGCTTTTATATCATGATACAGAGAAGACATAAGCTTTTCTATTATATGTGCCTTTGAGTCATCCGAAAGCATACTGGTTCCGCCGACAGGGCTTAGTAAAAACCCAACCTTTACCAAATATTGGTAAATAAGATAAGACCAATACCCCTTTTGGGCCGGTTGGCCTAGAGAGATCTTTCGTATCAAAACAAGAGAGTACCCCCTTTAACGGAGAAGGGTAGGCGCTAGTGAAGAATTCTCTATGCTACGCACCTTTCACTCGGGTTGGAGCAAAACTTGATGAACATTGGCTTGAAAGCTTACTAAAAGATGGCCAAGTTTCCAACTTCTTCAAGTTACATAGGATCAAATCTAGGCCACTAAAAAGGTAAGGCGCTAGCTTGGAGGCAGGTTCGACCGAAAGGAGCTATGTTCTATGGTTTGACGTTGTTCCGGTCAAGGTGATTGAGTGGTGTGAATCAAGGGTGGATGTTTCATTCCATCAAACATGTCTGTCATGTTTGCAATACCTGGAGATACCAGCTACTAGTCTGAGATTCACTGCAGGCATTCATCAGTCACACATCCACGAGATCTACATATTTTGGTTGACCCTTTGTCACTTTTATGATCATGTGGATGCCGGAGAATCCACGAAAAGAAACTGTGAGGGAGAGGGAAGCTTGTCTTCACTGCACATGAAGTTGTGGGACGAATAGAATGCCCTGTTAGAATCAGAGTCGGAGAGACCCACGAGACTTTCTTTTGTCCCGGCAGGCTCTAGCGCAAGAGCAATGCGAACAGCTTCTTCTCAAGCAGGGGAAACAAAGGTGCGTAGCAATGCTTCAATGAATGTGTTTGCGTCCTCATCTTATAGTACATAGTAGATAGTGTATTCATTTCTAATAAGAAATAGGGCATTCAGGGTGGGCTAACAATTCTTACTCATTTCACATCACCACTCAGTTCATCTTCATTTAGTATTTTTCTCTTTCCCCTTTCTTCATTTAATTTGCTTTCTTCTTCAAATCTTAGCAGGGTATAAATCTACCTAATGCAGGGATCGCCTGCTAGGCCGAGTGTTCGCCCACTTCAGAGCCTTCGCCTTTAGAGAACAAAATCAGAGTGATGATTGATGCAGTCAGTCAGTGCCCTCGATTGTTCCATTTCCCTTGTTATGTTTTGCTCACTTGCTCAAAGCATTGGATGTCCACATATGCCTTGATGGATGATGAAGAAGCCCCCCTTGCCTTAGTTGACTCTCCCATCTATTCAATCTCTCTTTTCTCTTCTTTCAGTTTGTTCTCTCATAGCTTTTGGACGATACTCAGACTCACTTAGGTAGCTTATTTTACTGGTGTGGCATTTCTGCAAATCCATTTTGATTTTTTTACATGTCTTGAATGCTATTCCTAGCTGAAAATTGATTGGCAATTTGTATATGCTCACTTACTTTTCTAATATAATAACCCAAAAATAACATAAAAATTTGTGTTAATTGCACAATTAAAAACTAAAGTAAAAGAAAAATACAAGAGGGAAAGAGTGCTGCACAAAAAAAAGAAAGCAAAGAAAATATGCATACGCAAAAACTTCTCTAGTTGTGACTTTGTTGAGGTCTAGTCCTTCATGAGATTTGGGATCATTCTCATCATAATCTTGAACATAAATGAACAGCTTTCGAGCACGGCGTTTCTCAAAGAGCCCCATAAGAGTGGATTTTAGTGCTTCAACATCTGTAGCAGGCACTTTATAAATCTGAAATCAGAACACATGGAAATATGAATAATATAGATATAAGGAAATGATCCTACATAGATAGAACTAAAGGTCCAAAAAGAAAGGAAAATTCTACCGACTTACCTTCCCCTTATTGTAAACAAAACTTCCATCAACAGCCTTGAAGTTAAGATATTTCGTCACACTCGTGTGGATGAGCACACGGACTAGAGCACCGTTAGCCATCATAAACTACAAAATCACACAAGCAAAACCTTCCGTTAGAGGCACTAACAAAACATCATGAAAACAGAGAAATAGGTTCATAAGCAAGATATAAGATCTAAACAACACAGATAATTTCATAAAAACTAAGTTATAAATCATAAAAAGACAAAGAAGATAACTGAAATAAGAAGAAATGAATCTAATGGTAATGTCATTGAGTATCCACTACAATGCACTGAAACTAATGCAAATGAGGAAAAAAAAGCTCAACATAATGACTAAGCAAGTTAAAACTTCGAACTATATAATGTAAAAGCATAAGGTAAAGAATTAATCTAATTCTAACAGCTATTTACTTAATTGAACTGAGCATATAGCGGGACAGAAACTGTCAGCAAACCTTAGGGACCATGTCAACATTGTAATCCTTGGTTGAGCCCAGACTTTCAGGAGGTTTTTCATCACCTCTAAATCGCTTCCAGAGCTATCATAGACAAGGCACAAAATTTTAAGAAATTTTGCCAAGATTCTGCATTCATAACTTCACATTGTCTTGAAAACATAATCATTCTTGCCAATAAAAGTACCAAAAATGCAAATTAGAAAAAAAAAAAACCTGAACTAGATTAAGTGATGTTGATTCTCCACCATAGTAATCATTCCTATCCATGTGAAGAACCTACACCCAGAAATTAAACCAAAATTCAGGATCTTAGCAACATCATAATCCAAAAAAAAAAATCTCTCATTCAAAAATGTCTTGCAAAGCTGTGTGTAGTATATCAATAAAACCAACTTTCAAAGCTGTGCATTAGCATAATTCAACAATTCAGGATCTTATCAATGCCTAACATGTATAAAAAAAGGGAACCCATTCCTTGTCTAACACAAGCCAAGCCATCAAGAACGCTAAGTATATTAGGAGTATGGAACAAGGTTTCTCAGTTGAGGTCAATATAATACTGCATATATTTAAGTCCCCATAGAAATGCTACTATTTGCATATCGATCAAATGAGGAAGATTACTTCAGCTGTTGGTTTTTTTGTCTCTAAAATTCTAGAAAAAGAAGATCTTGCCCTTTCCTCCTTAATGGCTAATAAACGAAGCAATAAGTGAAAATCAAGCATGGAAGAACCTCCTCCTCATCTCAATATGATTTTCCTCCCGGCATCCGAGCTATGGCGTCTCCCCGTGGTCCATGAAAGTTGAGCTCGCCCACCACAAAGAACGCCAAGGACCTCGTTTCTAAATGCATTTCTTTCTCCCATTCGGACTTCGACTCCCTTGACGCCATGAATCGTCTCCTTCTGAAGGGCAACTGTGGCCATCATAACCTCCTGAAGCTGCCTGCAACAGCTCATCGGCTACCCGTCTCCGCCGGCGTCACTGCCTCGAGAGTATTCCAATTTTAATTATAGAATAAATCGGATTTCTAGAAGCCAATTTGATTTCAATTTTGAAATTTATTTTTAAATTACTAATATTTTTAATTTTAACTGATTTCAGAAGTTTAAACATAAATTTAACAAAAATCAATAGAATTATTTAATGAAATTTTATTATAATTCTTTTTTACTCATCAAAATCCTTTTATTATTATATAGTAAGGAGTTGGATTTTCAAGTTTTGATCCAGATAATTAAGTAATGTTAATAGGGCAATAACAATTAGGCGATGGCAACTTGATGACAATTGATAGTAGTCAGAAGATCATTATCAAGTAACAATAGTTGGTGTTAGTGGTTGGGATATCATAGTCGGACGATAATGATCAATAGATTGTAATCAAGCGATAATGATTAGACGTTGTTGGTCATTCAATGGAGATTGTTGGCAACAACTGTTGACGTCTATCATAATTAAAAAGACAAAGAAGATAACTGAAATAAGAAGAAATGAATCTAATGGTAATGTCATTGAGTATCCACTACAATGCACTGAAACTAATGCAAATGAGGAAAAAAAAGCTCAACATAATGACTAAGCAAGTTAAAACTTCGAACTATATAATGTAAAAGCATAAGGTAAAGAATTAATCTAATTCTAACAGCTATTTACTTAATCGATTTGAGCATATAGAGGGACAGAAACTGTGCAGCAAACCTTAGGGACCATGTCAACATTGTAATCCTTGGTTGAGCCCAGACTTTCAGGAGGTTTTTCATCACCTCTAAATCGCTTCCAGAGCTATCATAGACAAGGCACAAAATTTTAAGAAATTTTGCCAAGATTCTGCATTCATAACTTCACATTGTCTTGAAAACATAATCATTCTTGCCTATAAATGTACCAAAGATGCAAATTAGAAAAAAAAAAAAAAAACCTGAACTAGATTAAGCGATGTTGATTCTCCACCATAGTAATCATTCCTATCCATGTGAAGAACCTACACCCAGAAATTAAACCAAAATTCAGGATCTTAGCAACAGCATAATCCAAAAAAGTCTCTCATTCAAAAATGTCTTGCAAAGCTGTGTATAGGATATCAATAAAACCAACTTTCAAAGCTGTGCATTAGCATAATTCAATAATTCAGGATTTTATCATTGCCTAACATGTATTAAAAAAGGGAACCCATTCCTTATCTAACACAAGCCATCAAGGAGGAAGATTACTTCAGCTGAGGTCAATATACTAAGCATATATTTAAGTCCCCATAGAAATGCTACTATTTGCATATCGATCAAAGGAGGAAGATTACTTCAGCTGTTGGTTTTTTTGTCTCTAAAATTCTAGAAAAAGAAGCTCTTGCCCTTTCCTCCTTAATGGCTAATAAACGAAGCAATAAGTGAAAATCAAAGCATGGAAGAACCTCCTCCTCATCTCAATATGAATTTCCTCCCGGCATCCGAGCTATGGCGTCTCCCCGTGGTCCATGAAAGTTGAGCTCGCTCACCACGGAGAACGCCAAGGACCTCGTTTCTAAATGCATTTCTTTCTCCCATTCGGACTTCGACTCCCTTGACGCCATGAATCGTCTCCTTCTGAAGGGCAACTGTGGCCATCATAACCTCTTGAAGCTGCCTGCTACAGCTCGTCGGCTACCCGTCTCCGCCGGCGTCACCGCCTCGAGAGTATTCCAATTTTAATTATAGAATAAATCGGAGTTCTAGAAGCCAATTTGATTTCAATTTTGAAATTTATTTTTAAATTACTTTTTTTTTTTAATATTAACTGATTTCAGAAGTTTAAACATAAATTTAACAAAAATCAATAGAATTATGTAATGAAATTTCATTATAATTCTTTTTTACTCATCAAAATCCTTTTATTATTATATAATAAGGAGTTGGATTTTCAAGTTTTGATCCAGATAATTAAGCAATGTTAATAGGGCAATAACAATTAGGCGATGGCAACTTGATGATTAAAGTTGGGCGACAACGGAAATGAGATTATAGTTAAGTGATGCTAGCTGAGAAATTATAATCAATTGATAGTAGTCAAAAGATCATTATCAAGTAACAATAGTTGGTGTTAGTGGTTGGGATATCATAGTCGAGCGATAATGACCAATAGATTGTAATCAAGCGACAATGATTAGACGTTGTTGGTCATTCAATGGAGATTGTTGGCAACAACTGTTGACGTCTATCATAATGTAAAGTTCTCTTCAACTCTGAGTTTAAGTTTAGCTCTAAGCTCCATCTCATTTTTCCTATGGAGAATGAGAATCTGTTCATAATTTTATATAGTAGCATTATAATAAATTTAGTCAATATCTCAAAATATTCCATCAAATAGTCTATGTTGATTCATTTGATTATCAATATTTTCCATCAATATTTATATATCTTAATAACATTAGAATTGGGTGATCATTAACTCATTTGATTTCTCTCATTGATGCGCTTAATTTGATTATAAGCACGCATGATTTGGAGAATGATTAATCATTCAATTGATATCCTTAAGTAACCAGCCACATAAGTGTTTGATTTAGGGTCATTTGGACATGAATTTGATCAATTTATGTATCATTGGATTCATCTCATTGCTCAATTTGATAATAATAAGTTTGCTGAAATCAAAATTTGAATGATCCTAAATTTAATTATGACATTTTTCAATATAAGGATTTCATCGAGATTTATACGTGATCACACATCATTTATCTCCTATTTTTAAATATGTATTTTCTAAAAAATATGTATTGAGTCTTCAAAAAAGTTTACATCACTAAAACAATTTAAAAAAATTTGCATGGTGCGACCAATCCTTAGATGTCAACAAGGATCTCCCCTTAAGATCTTTAATCAAATAAACTCTCCTTGTCATATTTTGCCCTCTTTTGAATTTTACACATTAATTGGAGTAAAAATTATAATAATTGTTGCTTGAAACTCTTACGATTACATGAAATTGATTGCGGAGGCTTTACTTTTTTTTCTCGTGTATATATATATATGCCTCAATTGTGAAATGATCTTGAGGAAAATCATTTTAAAAAACAGTAAGAAAATCAACAGAAACAAAGTCTAAGTTGACAACATTGAGAAATGATCTTGAGGACCTAAAAATGCTGAAATAGACTTATTTGAGCAACAAATTTGGTCCAAAATAGGCTGAGGCAGACTTGCCCACTAGTAAGCCGGCCAGCTTTGGTTTGCCATTGTGAGCTCTGGTCCTCGTGCTAGACAGGAAAGCCTACATTTCTTTTTTTATGCTTACTTAGGCCATCTCCAGCAGAATTTTTTTTTTTCTCATTTTTAACTTAAAAATATACTAATAGTCACATCAAATAATAACTTTTTTTTGGACATTTAAAAATTTTTTTGGGACATTTTAAAGATGAAAAAAAAAATGAAAAAGAAGAAAGAATTGATTCTTTTTCATTTTTTTTATATTTATTTTTAATCATATATTTATATTTATCAATTTTTCTGATTTAAAAAAAAATATGTTTATGAACAACGCGACTCCAAAATTGGCATTGCACTGTTCCCGTCACGAGAATGCTACTAAAACTCAACATTCGGGTGGAGCTGATGAGTGATGTCGAACGGCAAATACTTGTTTAGCGTTCGATAGTAGATGTACTTAAAATGTTTAATTAAATATTTACTAAAATGTTTTGTTTAAAATATTTCAACTAATTTAAGTATCTAAAATAAAAACTTTTTCCCTAATTTCATCAACGAAATCAGATGTTAATTACACTCTTACGTGATCGCTAAAACTCCGTTATAATTCCATTATTTCCTGCTCTATTCAGAGAAAGGAGGAAGAAGGAACCTTCAGGCCATCAACGGAGAGGAGACCACTGAGGATGCATTCCTTCAGGCCTGTTCCGAGCACGATGACGTCGTATTCCTCATCCATTTCTGCAGCTCGCAAAGGAAATATGGAGCCAGAAGGCTTGAAGCGGATCAAACAGTAAAGAGAAAAGAGAGATCGAGAGGAAGGAGATGAAGTCGATAAGATGAAAGGAAGTTAATTAGTTCCCTAAACTATTGATGGAGAAGGAAGCAGCGCGAACAAACTCATCCGATTCGCGCGGGGAGGAATTGGCCGCCTGCTACGCAAGGCGGGGAAACATTATTATAGGGCATTTTTTGTTCATTGTTTTTTTTTTTTTAATTATTTAAGCTTTTTTGTGTTAGGTTTCTTATTTCAAATATTTTTTACTAAAAAAAAGCTGTCCAAGTGGAATAATTATTAGGTCCGGACATTTGACGTAGCTCTACATCCAAACACTAATAACATGCCGCCACGTTCTCTTACTCTTTACTATGCGGCCCGACAACCCGACCCAGACCGGAACCCGGTGTTGCTATGTTCAGGTCTTGCTAGGTATTGCTCGGTATTGCTAGGTATTGCTCGGTATTACTAGGTATTATTTGACAATAACGAGAAATACCGCTCTATCAAGACCAATACCTAGAAATACGGAGCAATACCTAGCAAAATCGGGGTTTGCTAGATATTGCTAGATATTGGTCTTGACAGATTGATATTTCTCGTTATTGCCGACCAATACCGACCAATACCGAGCAATACCTAGCAATACCTAGCAATATTCCGGTCTGCAAAAATCAGCTAATACGTAGTAATATCGGGTCCGGGTCTTCAGGCCACGCGGTAAAGAGTAAGAGCACGTGGCGACATGTTATTGACGTCCGGATGTAGAGCTACGTCAGGTGTCCGGACCTAATAATTATTCGTCCAAGTGAGAGCTTAAATTGGCTTAAGAATATAATTAGAGTTTCATTAATTTAATGAAATAAAGCGATATGATAGTTATAATATAATATAATTTTTAAATTTGTAGCCCTAATACTATTTTTCTTATAAAATAGCATGAAGACATTAAGTTGTCTTGAATCATATTCACTTCACCTTTTATTGGTCGACCAATAAATTGATGAAATCCTAATGATAGGTTATTAGAAAATCCACTTTATCGATATGAATCTCGAGATAATATTCGATTGAATTGAAAATTATCAATAATAAATTCAAGATATATGAACGTCAATTCCGATAAATTTATAGTAGAATTGAATATCATGATGATATGAGTACATTGACCGACAAATAATCCAATTTGAGTCAAAATGAACTCAAATTAAGACTTGAAGCATATTTGAAATTTTTTTAATATTGATTAAAGGATTAAATGGTCTCTAAATATTACACGCTTATAATCAAATCATATGACTCAATGAGTAAATATAACGAGCACAATATCATTCAATTCTGACATCATTAAGATTCTTGAATGTTGGATAAATGATATATGATCAAGCGGGTCAATATGAACCGTCTGATGGAATGATTTAGATTTTGACTAAATTTACCAAAATGCCCCTTTTAAAATTCTATAAATATGATTTCAGTTTTTGCAAGAGTGAAATTCGAGAGTTACAAGAGCTTAAAAACTCTATTGCATTTTTCAATGGCCACCGTCAAAGACCACCTTCATTAATAATATTCCACTCTTATCATTTGACTATATATAATTAACATCTAACTTTGTATTTTAGCTTTAACCATCTATTTGCAGATGCCCAATTTCTTGAGTCATTGTAATTTGAATCAAATAATTATTATGAGCTATGTATCATCTCAACTTCTTCAACTATGAGAAATTAAGGGTTGTTCTTATATTCCATTGTATAATGGATTATTACAATCAGGCCAAGTTTCCTAACTTTTTCCATGTAAAATTATTATCTTTCACAACTTTATCTATGTGCACTATATTTTTATACAAAATTAAAATATAAAATACATACTCTATTGATGCAAAAAATTTTGCACCTTACAATGACAAAATTGATTATAGTTATTATATTGTGACAATGCAGAACATTGATGTGTTGTATGATAAGATAAGTATTATTGTTGTTATAATTTTTTTTTATGATATTCACTTATAAAGCTATCCAAATTAGTGATTCAATAGTAATATTTGTTAATAGCATTATATCTATTCAATAAAGTGTCATAAGTTTTTTTGCTAATATTTATTGTCATATGACCAATTATTTATCAGTTTTTTATGTTCATTAGATTTCATTTGGGATGACTTTCTTACTACTTTTTAAAGAACTTTTTAGTACAGAAATTTTAATTTTTATACTAAATAGCTTCTTTAATAAGTAGTAATAAAACCGTCACAAACGAAGCCTTTTTTTAGGGGAAACTCATGGAGAGGCCTACGGGTTAATATAAAAAATTAGAATAAGGTCTTTAAAGGGACCTCAAGCTTACTATTGCTCAAAAGAGCTACAAAAAGAAAACCAAAAAATTCTACGAGATCGAGGTCCCTACTAACAAAAAGTACAAGAAATCCTAGAAACATGCTACGGTGCACAAGACTGAGCACCCAAAAAAGATCAGAGATCCAAAAAAACATCAACCCGATCCAGCTTCCCTTCGAAGATGCGATCAATATACTCACCTGCAAAATTGGGAAACTGCAACATAAAATATAACAACGAAGGGATATGAGAAAATAAAAACAAATTAGGAGATAACAATAGTTATAATTGCAAAGAATAGTCCAATTATCCATCTAGATAGAATTCAAAATAGTACAAGAACCAAGCTAGTAGCTCAAAATCCCAAGCAGATATCCATAGAAAATGAAGGCCAGTAAAGTATGGACCATGGAAACCAGAACACCAAACCAAAAGACAGCATAAGAGAAAATATTCTCCAACCAGAAATCAAGAAGGCAATAGACAACCACAAAGTAAACCCAGCAGCAGAAGGCCCCAAGACCAGACACCAGACCCCAAAGAGAAAATCCAAAGAAACAAAAATACACTAACCAAAGGCTAAAAGCACTAGAAGCAAACCAGTACCTAACTAAGCAACACAGGCAAAAAACCCTCAGCCAGATCACAGAAAACATCCTACTGAAGAACCCCCTCCCGCCACTAAAATAGCAGCACCCCGAGAGGTTCAGCCTAAACCACCAGCTAACCGAGAGACAACAACAAGAAACATCACCAAACCAACGGAAACCAATGTGAAACCCCTAGGAAACCATAAAAAGAACGTCAGAGAACCACCTCTGAGCAACCACAATCCACAAGCATGCACCTGCCAAAACAGCCAAAAGAAAACCACCCAAAAACAGATAGCACCCTCCCAACCATAACAGGGACAAACCAAAGAATAGCCCTCTAGGACAAAAACCATCCCAAACCAACCAACCAAAAAGGAAATAAAAAAACCACAACCCCTAGACAACAACCAACAGGAGACAACCCAAAAAGCATTAAGGAATAACATAAGGAAAACTAATATCAACCAAACTTAAGAGGCCTCTAATATGAAGAGGAAAATTAGAAACATGAATATCCTCGCAGGAATCCAATTCCAACCCCCAGTTGGCAATGGTACAAGCACACATATTATCAACCCCCTGAATAACAGAAAAGGAGCAATTGAACATAGTCAATTAATGATTAATATCCCTCCTCATGTAAAAACAAAGCACACTAAAGGAAAATCGCATGTTACAGGCGGACCAAATTCATCGAAAAATGCCCAAAATCCATAAAAAATTAGAATTTCTGGCGAATTTCCATCGGATTTTTGTCGATGGTAAGGCGTGTGTCGTAAAAGTTATACCGTCACAAATAGGCCACCAGAAATATTTCCGGCGGACTTCCGGCGGAATTATTCCACTGTTATAGTTTCCAGCGAACTATTTTGCTCCATAAATAAAAAAGAAAAAAAAGCATAAAACTGGTGGAAGAGTTAACAATATTTAATTTTATTTAATTTAATAATTACTTATTAATTATTCTTTAATTAATTTTATAATATCTAATTTAAATAATTTTATTTGATAATAAATTATTTAACTTAATTTAGCAAAATAATTAATTATAGTCATGTTTAGAAAAATAATAATTTTGGTCTGAAATTTCGTCGGAAATAAATTCACCAAAAAATGAATAAGAAAATCAGTCGGAGTAACATCAGAAAATCTGTCGGAAATGCTTCGCAGTTAATCCATAGGAATTTGTGATAAATTTTTTTTTTCGCCGAAAATTCTGTCGGAATTGACCTATTTTCATGTAGTGGCGCAGCAAGAGAAACCAAATCCTGCCTCAAGGAAGAAACCTGATAGTAACAGCGAGAGCCCAGCTCAAGCACAATATTCATGAAATGAAGAGAAAACCAAAGTTTTAACCCATATAAGATCGTAAAGATGATGCCTCATTAACAGCAGAGTTGTAAAAGGGACCACCAAAACCCATAATGCCTTTACCATTAGAATCTCTGATGATACCACCACCACCCACCCTAGTATTAATACTAACAACATCCACGTTAAGCTTAAGAAAATTAACCAGAGGTTTCCTCCAAGAGATATATTTAGGGGCATTGATGATACCATCCCCAACCAAATCAATACCCAAATTAGCCGCATCATTGCCCAAAATTTTAAAATTCTTAACTGACAATAACTTAGCCGAGAACATGGCCACAATCTTATCTTTAATTCTCTGGATAATTCTATTATGATTCATAACCATCCCGTTGAAACGGGAATTATTTCTATCCAGTCATAAAAAACAAAGAATAAAAGAAGGAATAACATTCCTGATAAGTCCAAACGAAGCCTTCATCAAACATATGCAGTTCCCTGTTTAGATTTAATTGAATAAATTTTTTTTTTCTCCTCAACCACCACATTCAAATAATCTAGTCTTATTTTCAATTTTGAGTAGTTTAAAATTTAGACCCTCAGTTGACTCCCTTTCTTCTCATAAATTCAAAGATTTAAAATATTATTTCACTCATTTTATTAGTTAGAGCTAAAGTCTTTTCATTGAACATTCTCACATCGTGTTAGTAATAATCTTGATCGTGTTATATATGTAGATGGTGAACCACCAAGGCATTAAAACATTCTGACACTTTTATAGAGCCACCCATAAGGGAAATTTGCTTCCTAAGATAAAAGGATCATTTATGACATCATGATCCATCAGCCATGCATAGGTTTCATCTTTTATTTTTATTTTTATTTTTTTGAGTCAATTAAGTCAAACTCTCACAAAGATCACATGCATAAGTTTTGAATCCAAGACCTCTCAATAGATAGCCAAAGCTCTCAACCAATAGATCGACATGAGCTGCATGTTTCATTTTTTAACTTGCTTATCTTCTATGCAATGATCAAAAGTTTTGTAATCGTCAATGTTGTTAGCCCGATACATTTTATCATACATAGTTCGACATATGGTGCAGTCATTCTCCTCAAAGTATTATTGAAGTTTTTACAAAAGATTGTAAATAATGCCCATGAGATGTCCAAGGAAAGATTTCGCAACAACTTCAAACTAGTCAATAATATCTATTAAAAATTATCCCTTCAATGATAAATATAATAGTCTAAGACTTTGTTTAAGACAGCTTTTTTAATGCTATATATCTAAAATAATTTTTTAGTTAGCAAATTTCTTGTTAAAAAATTTTTGTACTAAAAATTTGCTTTAAAAGTAGTAAAAAAGATGTCACAAACAAAATCTAAATCATAAATTAACACTACAGTAAAAACGTCAATTTCTGACGTCAATTTTTCGTCCGAAAATAGCCGGGGGGGTTGGCTAACAACAACAACAACAAAGTCATCCTTTATATTTTGATGCTAACAAAAATAACAAGAAGCCTTTATCCCATTAGTTGGGATCGACAACATGATTCATTTTTCTCTATTGTATTCTATAAAATGTCAAAATCTCTTTTAAATATTATAATTCTTTTGAACTTTTGGATACTGATCAACCGATATGCCTAGAATCTTGTGAAATCTCATTTGAATGTTATGAACGTCAACTAAATGGTGAGTTTGTCTCGACAAATCTCTTATGCACTAACATCCAACCTTGTCTGGTAATAATAAATTCACCAAATGCCTTTGAATATAATTGCTAGCAACTTTTCATGCTCTAGTGTTTAATAATGTTCATAGCATTGAGTCATGATCTTATTTGTTAGCTCATTTAAGTCTTTAGCATCCTCTCTAGCGGATACCATTAGAAATAGAAATTCATAATCAGTGGAAGGAGATTCACCACAAGGGTTAACTGAGGTTGAAGACAACCATGGAATATATATCATTTATATAAGTTTATAAAGGTTAATATTTTGATGATTGCAAGAATAATATAAAATTAAGCTTAAGTGAGATAAATATATATAGCCGTAGACGAACGCATTGTTTACCTTAAAGCTCTTGAAGCAATTAAATAGAACTAGTTTAATGCTGATAAAGCTTACTTGGCTATACGATACATGTACTAGATGATAAAAAAATTGCCACTTAAGTTTCTTTAATTTGATAGTGAAGAGACAGCTTTAGGCTTCATTTTGGGACGGATTTTTAATTTTTCTTAAAACCGTTTTTTAGTTAAAATTTTTAATTTTTTTTTATTAAAAAGTTGTTTTAAAAAGCAATAAAAAAACCGTCTCAAATAAAATTTTAATTCAGATACTATAAACAGCCTGCAATGTATTATTGAAATCCCTAAAGCAAAAAAAAAAAAAAAGAATTTTTTAATCTCAAACTTTACCTTTGTTGGAATAGAAATACTTCATGCATTCTGGTTGACCTTCGATATTTTTCTGCCTACACTGAATGCCGGTCTAGCTGTGACTAAAGAAATACTGAGTTGTTACATAAAAATAAACTATGGATTCCAATTTGAAATCCTGGGTTGTTAAGCAGCTCATTTTAATCCGTTAGTTGAGAATTTTAACTATACTAATCAAAAAGTCTCAAATTCATGTAAGAACCCTTCTTTATTCGTATCACATACTGGCTCAGGATATTCCTTTCAGCTCAACATACAAGACACTTCTTTTTCTTGATCTTCAAGACAATTCTTGCTATTTTTCATGATTACATTTCTAATCTGAAAGAAAATAACAATCTATAAATGCCTTGAATATTGTTCTCTTAGAAAATAAAAAAGAAATCCTTGCAACTCAAAGAAATCCTCTCAATTAAAAAATAAGTGCCTTGCATCCTTAGCTAAATTCAGCTCAACATATTCTCATCCAAATCTTGTCTTCCCCTTAACACCCAATTCTATTCATCACACAACACATCCACTCAAATATTCACAATGCAGACACAATAGCGACAGCCACCTCCCTATTCTCCAACCTCTGCTGTCTTGAATCCTCCATTGTTGCCTGCGGCACCAGTGCCCGGCATGAAGGGCAGCTCGAATGAGAATATAGCCACATATCCACACAAGGAGCGTGAAAGGAATGCCTACATGCCGGCAGCTGCCGCACTTTCTCTCCTTCCTGGAACGCCGTAAGGCAAACTGAACACTCAGTACTGAATGATTGCTCTTCCTTATACCTGCAAACTGGTATGATTTCTACAGCTTTTGGCTCTTTTTTGATCCAGCATCTTCTGAAACATTGCAAAAAGGACTCCATTTGCAGGCATCTATAGGAGTTTAAGAGTAGGGTGATGGCAATGGCTACCAAGACAAAGCTGACTATGATAAGGAGGAAGTAACTGTTAAAGGTGGGGGAAGACTTTGACGGAGGGGAAGGAAATGCCATTGTGGCTTCCGTTTACATGGTGGAAGAAATTATGAGAGGGATGTAAAGATTATATATGAGATGAGATATCTAGATGGGTTTGCTTGACAAGCAGTTTGGAAGGTTATGTTGGTTTGGTCATATTGTGAGAACCGGCAATTAGTAAGGTTACCATTGCTTTTTTTTTTTTTATAAATTTTTTTTTTTGGCTTTTGGTATGTCGAGTATATGTTGATGGCGTACGTGGAGGATGGGTTAAGTTGCTGATTACTGTTCTGCTTGGTGTGATGAATATATATATTTTATATTAATTATTTACATATATGACAAAAGAATTTTTTATGCACATATTAATATAGCTGGAGAACTAAAATATTATATAAATAGATATAAAAATTTAAGTGTTAGATATGTAGCTATTAAGAACTCTCTGATATATGTATGTAAATCCGTTTATTTAATATAATATTGACATCAGATTAGCTGCAGATTTGAGTTATCTTTACGCTCTGTTATTAGATGAAGAGCTATAGATTCATATTTTAGAAGCTAAAGAGTTCACGATTCTGAATAAAAAATTTTGATAGTTACTTCTCTGTGCTGCAGTTAGTTATCTATAGAGGTGTTGCAGTTATGATTTTAATTTGGATAAATTATTACTATATCAGTTTCCGGGTACTTGGCTTATTAGTTACGTTCATGTGGGCAAGAATGGAAGGAAGGCCCCATAGTTTTTACATTTATGTAATTGCTCTTTGATACACGAGAGAAAGCTAAGAAATGATTTCTCTCGTTTGGGTGGTTCAGGAAATCATTAGTCAAGCAACTTTAAGATTTGTCCTTATCGTTGAATAGAAAAGTGAGGAGAAATAAGAACTTCTTAAGAAGTCTTTGCGGGAACTAGTAGGCTTTTTCTTCTAACCTCCGCCTGCAACTTCTTTCTTTTCTCAGGCCTGGCTAGTAATGTTAGCTAGAATGTTTAAAAAGATAGATGAAAAACTCTGACCGGATAGTTTGTAATACTGAAGAAAACTGTGAGCTTGGGGGTCCAATGGTGACCGGCCTCTTTAACGGTTTCTTTGAGGATAGCGATTTAAATGTGGTTCAGGTGATGAATGAGAATTTCTTTATGAGTTCTGATAGGAAAGGCAAGAAAAATAAATGAAAGAATTACAAGTTCACGTATTCTAGTGGAAAATCCGCTAGATCCAATTATGTCAATTAGTGTTAGTTGGGCCTGTTTCTGGTTATGTATGTGTTTTTTTTTTCTGTTCTGGAGATGCTTGTCTTGTTTTTGGGTTTTATTAGATCGGTTGCTTTGATGTTATGTTGGTTGTGTGGCTTTGATGTTATTTTCTTGTCCTCTGGGGGCTATGGTTTCTGTTGGGTTATTGGTGTTGGTGTTGTGTTGCTTTCCTGCTATGGGTGAAGTCCCTTTTTATTTTGGTCTCTTGTTTGCTTTAGAGCTTCTTAACTTGATATAGATATTTGGGTGCTTGTGTTGTTGAGCTTGGCTAGAGGCCATGCTGGAGTTGTTGGTGTTGTTCGTCGTGACTGTTTTACTTGGTTTTGCTTCTTGGGTTTGCTTCCTTTTCTTGATTATATGGTCTTTTCTTTTTGTAATGTAATAGATAGGATCTCAGACTCATTAAGTTTTACTTCAATTGATGTACTTTTACAGAGCTTCTAACCCTCTAAGAATTTGCAACTTTTTAATTATGTAACGTGTAGGCCTCTTTGTGATTTTTAACCAAAAAAACTATTATACTAATAAGTATGAACTAAGTTTGGTAGAGAGAAATGGAGCATAAATATGCAGCAGTCTTTAAGTTTCATTTGATAGTTATTAGAAATTAAGCACAAATTAATGATAAGATATGACATAGTGTCAGAGTCATCCTCTAACGCTTTATTAATAGGTTTAGGTCGAGATTAATTAGTGCCACAAGATTGACTTATACATAAAAGTAAAACTATGTACTAAAGCTTAACAATTATTATTTATAAAATGAATATACCTAACTAACTTATAACTATCAAATTAAGTAGGAAACTCACAATAAGCTCTTGAAATGAATATGAAATTATTTTTGAGAATGAGACTTCATCGAGCCTTCTTTGATGAAGTCTTTGGTGAGTTCGTTTTGAGCTGGTAAGTAGCTTTTTATGCTTGTGCTAGTTCAATTAATAAATTCATTGTAATAAGGTGAACAGCCTTAACGATTTCATTTAAAGAGTTCTCTGCGGGATAGGTTTTTCCTTCAGCAAATTCAGAGAAATATTATTGAGGGCATCTCCAACTGAAAACCTCATTTTTCACGGCAAAGTATAGCAAAACTTTAAAATGCGGCAATTCTGTTCAATTAATCGAACTCCAATTTGCGGGCTTGTCTTGTCGTAACCATCGTTCTCCATTTCGCGGGTAAATCCCGTTGACACAAAAAAATTTAGCGGGTGAATAGTGCGACGCCAGTATTGGCGTCACACTGTTCATCAACAAACAAATGCCTGAGAAAAATGCATTCGGTTGCGACGTTTGAGGGCCTCCATTCGGTTATTTGCCGAATGGCTGAAGATGGTCTGAATTACTTCTTTAGTTGACTTGATTTAGATTCCGTTTGGAATAGCTTTTTATTGATTTATAAAGCTGATGTATAAAGCATTTTTTTTAAAGAGTTGTACAAAGCTGTTGCACAAAAAAAAAAAAAAAAAAAAAAAAAAAAAAAAAAATGAAGCAGCCCTACACGAGTGCTCTCTCTACGGCAGTAATCACTGACACAGGAAAAACCTTCATCTCAACCTCCGGCAACCCACCGTCCCTCCCAGTATCACTTCCTTACCTCAGCTCGACAAACAGGACAACTAGAATGCAATAGAAGCCACTTGTCAATACACTGCACGTGAAAGCAATGCATGCATTCCGGCAGCTTCCGTACCCCATCGCCGTCGTTAAACTCCACCAAGCACACCGGACACATTCTCTCCTCATCGCCATCGCCGCCTCCAGAAACCACTTGCACGTCCTTTCGATAGATTTGCGCCGAAAGAACAGGCAACGACGACGCCGAAGCCTCGACGTCGACAACTACGTCTTCCGGCTGCCGGCTTCCAGAGGTGTTCCGGCGGCTGTAGAATCCCCAGTTGATGGCCACCCAGTGATAGATGGTTATAAGCATAGCGGCGAGTATCATGCAGAAGAGAGCAACTAGGAGGGCGGGGAGGGAGCTCCGGCTATCTACTGGCATTGTCGTTTTGTAAATGTTTGAAAGATGAGAAATTAATAACGAGCAATGCTGCAATTCTAATATAAATTCTTGTTTAAAATATTTCATTTGAAGTTTTGTTATGCAAATAAAAACAAAAAAAATATTTTAAATGTATTTGAAGGGGATTAAAATAGCTTACTACGTTGTGTGGAGGAAAAGGAATGATTAGCATATAGTTAAAAGAAGCTTATAAACGGACCGTAATTGCAGTGCTAATTGTTGACTGGATGTTTCTGAAAGTAACTTAGCTTGCACGTTATACTGTTTGGTAGTTTATGTGATTAAGAAATTTGATTGTAAATCAGTGCATGATGATCGTTTATATAGTTTTCATGAGTAAATTGCTAACTTTTTGTACAATGATTTCAAAATTTTAAAATGTATAGTTTGTTGTTATTAGGTTTTGTTTGAGATAATTTTTTTAGTACTTCTTAAAATAAATTTTTAGTACAAAAATTATATTTTTTTAACTAAAAAACTATTTTAAATAGTAATAAAATCATTATCAATTTGATGATAATATAAATAAATATATTAAAATTAGTGAATTAATTATAATTGCATTTTAAATGCTTTGAAGGCTTTGGAATGAATAAAATGAAAATTATGAGGGAATTAGGGGTCTAACTGAATAATTGTATTTGATGAATAACTTAATAATTGTTTATATTTGTTTATTTACATAATTGAATAAATTTGTTTAGATAAAATGTTAAAAGTTCATAAAATAAACATTTTGACTTGTTTATTCATTTATGTTTACAAACAAATTAGTTTATTTTGTAACATTACCTTGCTAAAATTAAGTTGGAAACTTCCGAAATTAAATTTGGGACCATTCGAACTCCAATTTCAGCAAACTTATAGTCGAACTAAACGTCTCGAAAAATGCAAACCCAACGACACCAAATCCGACTCAATCCTAGCCCAAATTGGTCCAAATCAAAGACCTTGAGCACATTTGGAAAGTTCAAGCCATAAATTGGATGACCAAATGACTTCCAAACATGACATGCTTATAGTCGAATCAAGCGGTTCAACGAGATGAATCCAACGTGCCCAAGATCGCCAAATTCTGATATCATTAAGATATTCAAATGTTCAAGAAACGGTCTATGATCAAGGGGATCAACATCGGCCGTCCACCACTCCGACATTACCTTTGATTTTCTTCCATAATAATATTTTTGTTTTTTTTATTAGGCAGGCAATGATCAGTTCTCACCAGCTAGCATTGAGGCCAAAACAAATGGAATATATCATATATTGCTTATTCAGGCATGCTATTCAGTTGATCTCACCAACTAGCATTGAGGCCAAAACAAATGGAAGAGATAAAATCTATCAGGTATAATAAACTATAGTGTATCTTTTGCGAAAGAAATGGATGATATTCTTCTGCCAAAGAAATGTGGGTGTTAGGTTTAAAAAAAAAAGTTGCAAAAGAAAATGTTGAGATTTTGATTTGGATTTGTTTTATATCAACACTACTAAAAATTCAATTTGCGTCAAAAGAAGGATTTTGCCGATATTGCTTTAATTTGATAGTATTTAGGCATCATGTAATCTATATTACATGTTTTTGGTATCTCAATTTGATTGTGTTTTCTCAAATTATTAGTTTACATGGCTCTCGATTTGTTTGTTAGTTTTACAATCTTCGGTCTCGATTAATTGCCCATTAATATGTTGTTTATAATCACTAAATTTATATTTCTATATTATTTTATGAAAATTTATAATTTGATCACAAAATTTAAATTTTTGGCATTATATATTTTTTAATCTGTGCTACTCTTTAGTAGCGGTTTTAACTCATGCTAAAAGTGCTGTTAAATCTTTCCTATAATAGCATTTGTGAAACCGCTGCTAAAGCCTTTCCAATGAATGTAAATACATCGGGTGTGTAGCGGTTCCTAAACCGTTGCAAATAAATTAGCAGGTATTTAAACCGCTGCAATAGGCCATAAAAAGTGACGCAAAAACCTGATTTATTAGTATATTGGGAGGCCAAGAGTCATCACCCAAAAGGAGATCGCTAAGATGAGAAATTTGAAGCGGCAACCGATCCCTACGAAAAGGAATAACCTGCACAAAAAGAAACAGATAGACATCCAAAAAAATAGATAGATAGCTCTAGAGAAGTTATCTTTCCAATGATGTCATAGAAAACTAAGGTTAAAAAATATTGAGGGAGCTGAAATGCATGAGACGAAGCAACTCATTTTGTATTATAAAATATCTAAACATTATAGTCATCCTTGTCGTTATGTCCATATATATCTTGCCAACACTTATATTAAGATTCAACTACTTTGAAATTTATCTTGCAAACTTCACTTCTCAGCGATTGGAGAAGTTCCATGCAACCTAAGTACTCTTTTAACATAAATTAGTACAACCCAAAACAATGTAATAAGATAAGGGCTTCAAGCTTAGGTAAAGAAATATAAAATTTGTTCAGACAAAAAGCAAGATCTCAAAATCTTGTTATTGCTTGAAAGCACAAATTTATAGCAAAATGGTGATCTTACACTTTGTATTTGATCTTTAACAATGATGATCTATTCACAATGGATAGAGAATAACCAAGCTAATAATAAAGGTTTCATTTGGAGTGATTTTCTTAATGCTTTCTAAAATAGATTTTTAGTACAAAAATTTTTCGTTCAAGAGATTTTTGTACTAAAAAATTAATATTGTATAGCTTTCTAGTTTGAGATATTTTTTATTTTAATGTGAAATAAAAATATATTTGATATTTTAAATATTTTTTTAATTGTATATTGTATAGAAGCTAGGCGATGGCAGGCGGACATTGTGGCTGGTGGTGGTTGCCCTGTTTAATTTTAATTTAAATAATAAAAACCCCAAAATAAATAAATAAAAACTATTTCAATTATTTTAAAATTAATTTGATTCATTATTAAAATAAACAAAAAAAAGTTAAAAATTATAAATCAATTAATTTTTTATGAAAATAAAAGTAGAAAGGGATCCAAAGAAGCTCTTAAGGAAATACTTCATGTTCTTTGTAGTAGTTGCAATAGAATTGGTTAGCTACTTTTTTATTATTTTAGTTTATTATTATTATTTTTTAAAGGGGGAGAAAGCCCCAAATTTTATTAAAACTAAAAGGAAAGATACAATTGCCAAATCAAGCTAGCAACGCACCCAAAGCTAAAACTTCCACCGATGCAAAAAAACCAAGTTAAGCTGATAAGAGGACTCAGCCTAGCATTCTTGCATCCACCAAGTAGCTCAGAGATGACCATCTATTAGCGGAATAAGCCACAAAACAACCATCAAAATCACCATGGTTGCCAGCTCAAGGCCAACCAAGGGTTGCAGGAATGCTTCATCCTTCATCATAGTCCACCACTAAACTAAAAACCGCACAAGCACAACACAAGTCATTATTTTTTCTTTGATTTGTTCTTAGACCTTTTCCCAACACTAGTAGAAATAGATTGATCAGCAAAATGGCCTACTGCTGAATTGAATTTAACATGAGGATCTTGGAACTCATTTTCATTCTCATCAAAATCATCGTCGGTCACATTTAACCAATCTGAATGGTTCACACAAGATTTACTCACTGAGGCGGCCAGATGGGTTTTTAATTCCACATTGGATACAACCGAAATAGGAATATCAACAATAGTGGTCGGCAAAACCAAGTTAACAGAAGGATAAATCACATCCCCACTAAGTGTCCCTCCATGGACAACCAAATCCTCAGCACCCATAATGACCATAGAATCGCCATTGCCAGCCGTCTCTACATGAGTAGAGACCAAAACCGCACAACCATCATGACCCAAGACATCAGAAAAATTTGGAGCCGAAGAAACAGGCAAAGTCGAATAGAAAAAAAATACTTCCTCCTCTTCAACAATAGGGAGAGATGGAGTAGGGGAGGGAATATGATTAACTAAGCAAGAGACAGGGCTCATGGCACCCGCATAATTAGAATCATGCTTGCATTATAAAAAATGATACTAGCAGCTTCCTTACACTCACTAGAACCAACACATATAACATTTTCCTTATACGAAACACAAGACCCTCTGCCAAAGCCACATGAACAGCATCACAACCAACAATCCCTAGAATCGAAGTAATCACATGACTCGGATCCTCCCCAACCTTCTCCTCATTAACAACCAAATTGGACACACCCAAAGCATGACGCTTAACATTTCCAGCCATAAGAGTATTAGAATTAGACAGAGGAGCAAAAGCACAGTGACTCCTAAGATGACCAAGACGTTTAAAATACTCGCATAAATAAGGAAATACCTCCTTTTGCACCTTTTGGATATACCCAGAAACCTCAGGCCCAAGTCAAATTTGAGATGGATAAGTTTTAGTAATGTTCAACTCCACCAAAACACGCGTAAGGGATGGCCTAGATCCTACATAAGTGTTAGTAATAACCTTTAAGGGTCTACCGAACAAAGAACCTAATATGTGTAAGATATGGGGAGAGTAAAGATGAAGTCTTAGATTAGAATATGAAACCCAAATCGATATGACCGAAGATTCACAACTGATGTCCAGGAGCGGAGACCATTTAGTGAGCTTCATGAAACACTTATTCACCAGATATGAACGATGGCAAAAGACTCAGCAAAATTCTAGATCATCAGAAAGTTAAACCATAACATGCGTCTGATTAAGCACCATTACAGAGAATTCATAATTTAGTTTCAGAGTGAAAAAATAATTTGTGAATCACGTCCAGAGACGGATGACGCGTGGGAAAAAATCGGCCAAAGCGAATTGAAAAGGCACAACAAGAGCTCTAATTTCATCCTCATAAATCCACAACGAGGGTAAACCACAAAAAATTTCTTGAAGGAGCTCAGGGAAACAATACGACTAGAAAGAACCCGAAAGGGCATTAGCAAACGACCGAGTTTTAAATGAAACATTCAAAAAGCCCGGATCAGCAGCCCGTCGGATAGTCATTCCAG